GAAACAGAACTTTTTCGGTTGTAACCTGGCACCCAAAGGCAAGCTGTTCCGAGCTTGTGGAGAGAACAGAGCTGCTGAGAGGCCAAAGGGCATGAGAGAGGGGCTGAGAGCTTAACTCTTCTCTTTTGGGGTGGTGCTTATGGGAATCTCTTGGATGGATTAGCTAGTCCCAGGCAGTGATGGATACTGAGGCCCCAAAGGAAGACTGAGCCTGAAGGAAGGCAGTGCCTGGCCAGTGAATGGGGCTCTGCTTCGATTTTCTCATTTCCCTTTATAAGTTTAACTTACAAACCTCACCCTAAATACAAGGCTGACTATATGAGTCAAGCCTCTCCAGAGAAACAGAACCGATAGGAGATACGTGTATAAATATCCTATATACGAGTTGGCTCAGGAGGGTATGGAGGCCATGGAGTCCCATGACCTGCTGTCCACAAGCTAGAGAACTAAGAAGGCTGGTGGGTGGTGTAAGCCAGTCTGAGTCTGAAGGCCTAAGAAATGTGCGTGTGGTGTGGGGGAGGGGCTAAGTCATGGTCTGAGTTTGAAAGCCCAAGAACCAGGAGCAATAATGTCCCAGAAGATGGATGTCTCAGCTCAAGCAGGGAGAGCAAATTCGCCCTTCCTTCACCTTTTTGTTCTATTCAGGCCTCAATGGATTGGAGGGTGCCCACCCACGTTAGTGAGGGCCATCTGCTCTACTCAGTGTACTCATTCAAATGCTAATCTCTTCCACAGACACCCTCACTGACACACCCAGAAAAAACGTTTTACTAGCCGTCTGGGGCCTCCCTCAGCCCAGTCAGGTCGACACGTAAAATTAACCACTCTACTGACAGACACTTTCTTTGCCAACCACTGCTGGGCTTATCTTCAGTTTCTGTTGAAACTACTTACATGTTCATCAAACGAAAGTTCTGGCTGAGCCGCAATGTGGAGACCAACAGCAGGGGTCATCCCGGGACCAAAACGTGCACTTCCGCGTGGACGTTTCTGAGAGCCTTAGCCCTCTCCTCCACGCCCTGTGTGTGGTCTGGCTCGTCCCACGCTCAAGCGGAGCCTGGCATTTTGTGAATCGAATGTGGTCTGAAGAAAGTGGCAGGAAGAGGCGACGGGCCGGTGTGGGGGTGAACAGGTGCTCGTGAGGTTCGGGGTTTCTGTGGGTGGACACGACTGCGATCCTCGGCGCCGTGTTCTCACACGCACTGCTCTGCTGTCAGCACACTTGCTGACCGCACACAGAAAACACAATCCTGTGGACTTTACTGGATGCTCTGGCGCACCTGGGCTGTTGTAACAGCGGCTTGGGAACTCTGGGGCTCCGGGTGTTTTTTCAGCTTTCGCCCCTCCTCGTGAACTAGCACGAGGTCGGGTTTAAGGGGGAAGGCGCTACACGCCAGCACAGCCATCGCAGGCCTGGCATTCTTTGGTGTGAGACCCACAACGGGAACTCCCACCGTGAGCAGGCGGTTCCTTCTCGCCTCAGCAGAGCAGGGCGTGGGGGAGGGGTGCCTCTGCCCGGCTGGAGGTGATCCCACCCCTGGAATGGAAATTCAAACTCACACCACTGTGTGGGCTTCAGGATGACTTTGTGGCTGTCCTCACTGCTCGTGACAGCAGTTAAAAAGTCTGTTCCGGGTTATAGCGGAGAGCCTTGACTGACAAGATGGTTGGGAAGAGAATTTCAAAAAACTCACAGGAAAACCTTCTCCTAGAAAGTTAAAACTGGGGTGGGAGGGGGCTTGCTAAGTGAGAACACCGGGGGTTGGTCTGGAGTAGCACCGGGTCAGCGGGAAGAGTGTAGGTATGTGACAGTCACCTACTATCTTATGTTGTGACGAGTGGCTTCCAAAGTATTTGGCTGGCGAGTCATCAGAAAATGCTATCTCTTGTTCATATCTCAGCGGGATATTTCATTGCTATCTGTTCTCTCTGGAAATATGATGGTGGTTGGGGGAGGGGGGAACCCAGCCCTTTGGAAATTAAAGCCATATGCATACCATATTAAAAAAAAAAAAAACCCAACCCAGGCCATTCCATTATTGCTGACCATAGGAATTCAGTATTTATAATTTACATTCTTTCCCATACTTTGCTGTTTTTCAGAAGTGAAGAGCAGAGGTTTATGGCCTCACCAGATCGTAAATCAGATTCCTGAAGGTAAAGGGAGCTGCTGTAGGCTGAGGAACTGCCTTTTGACAGTTTGCAGAATGTGTCAAAACATGAGGGAAAGAACCCCCAAATGGAGATGGGACCTGCTTCAAGGAATGACATCTTGATTCGCTTGAAGCCACAGAAATAAAGGGCTCATGAGGCCAGAGCCCATCCACTCATACCACACTAGTTATTGTTCCATCTGGCACATGACCAGCTGAAATCACATGAGGAGCCAACGTCTGGAGAGAGGCCTGTAGGTTTGGTCTTCCCTTAGAGAGTGAGCACCTGAGAGCAGAGTCACACCAAGCCTCCTTCCAGGGGAAGGAGGAGAGACAAGGGCCTGAGCGCCTCCATCAGAACAGGCTTCTCCCTGTCCACGTGTCAGCCACTGACACTGGCTGGAAGGAAAGTGAGGGCAGGGACAGGGAGGCTCTAGTTTGGCAATGAGGCGTAAGATCTGTGTACAAGAATCAAGTCAAAGAGCCTCCAGTGGAGGAAAGAGCATTAGGCTCTGGTTGATCTGACAGCCTCTAATGGCTCTGTGCTCTTGAGTCAAGTATGTCTCCTCCCGAAGCCTCATGACCTCGGAAAATGGGGAACACATCACCGAGCTCACAGGATTCACACACACACACACACACACACACACACACACACACACACACACACACCAGAGTGCTAGATTCATGGAGTAGGTGAGAGGGATGGTTTCAGGGACACCCTTTTCCCCCGGAACTGAAAATGCCATCCTGTTCCTTGGCTCACTAGCAAAACCAGCTGAGTGTTACTGCTGCTGTGGGAAGATTCATGGGAGCAAAGAGGTCCCAGGGGGCCCACCCAGAGGTCTTTCCAAGTTTCTGAGTCCTCTGAAAGCCTGTATGGAAAGATAGGTTAGCAGTGGCCCCCGCTCCTGGTCTGGGTTTTGTCCACTCCAAGAGAAGGTGGGGGATTCTAAACATTTTGAAAGCTGAAGATTTCTTAAGCCTTTTCTGGGTTGAACCCGTAAAATACCTAATCAGTCCATGACGTCTACAGTCAGACTGAGGAGAATGAGCCAAAGCAGCACTTTGTCAGGCAAGAGGGACTCGTTAAGGTTTACAGTCCAGATTTTCCAGTATGGATTATTACATAAACCCTGCCTGCAATTTGACACCGTAATTAAGGCTATTGTATGTATACTTCAGACACAAAAATGCAGGATTTGGGTTCTTTAGTCTCAGATTTTTCTACTTTTCTTTTAAAGGCAACCAGGTCTTATTTCCTGTGGTTTATAAAACCATTGGTTAGTTACCATTTCTGAGCATCCAGAACGGGGAACACAGACTGCGCAGAAACTCCGGTACCTGAGGCCCTGGGGAGACTGCGTGGGGAGGGGTCTAGGAGGCCAGGCAGATGGAAGAAAACCTTCAAGACATTGTGGGACATTATCGGCGCCCACAAGTTTCAGACCCTTGGAGCATGTTTCCAGAGCCTTCCAATAACAAAGAAAAGAATAATTAATACCCGGGGCACAAGAGGTTCAAGTGTGAGCCTGGAATGGCTAAGGAGGCTGGTGGCTGGCTGCATCAGCTGTGAAAGCAAAACTCCTGGGCAAATTTTCTTTTCTGAACGATCTTCTTATCCTCATTGGGTTTATAATGGATTTGCCAACACTCTTCTCCTTGCTCCAAGGGGACAGGAAGGCTGGGGACCACGAGTCCCTTTTGCCAGCGCTGCAGGCAGGAAGCTTGTCTGTCACCCACCCCTCTGGTCAGCCATGGGTGCTGTACATAGAGACCAATCTTCAACCAAGATATCATGTGTATATAATAAAAGCCGAGCTTGGCCTTGGAGCCACTTGGACCTGTTACAAATCCTTACCAGTGTGAGGCTATAACAAGTATTTTCTTATAGGCCAGGCAGCTTCAAAATCTACCCAACAAAGCTGCAAGGAAGGGAATGTCAAGATAGACAAAGTCACACATGAATTTTTGAAATGCATTAAAGGTAGTCTTTCGTAAACACAGAACACAAGGAAGCCTTTTACAATTTGGCATTCCGACAAACTAAAAAACAAACAAAAATATCACATGCAACTATTTTTCCTGTTCTTGGGTAGACATTAATAAAATCATTCCTCTAAAGTCACGGAAGAGAGCAAATTTTTTTAAAAGCCATATTTATTGCATCAAAGGTAAAAAAAAAGTTCCAATTAAAATTTTTTGTGACCTTCGTTTATGGTGGTCCTTGCATCAGGTTTAGAACAAAATGGGATCAAGGGAAATGCTATAAAAATAAAATTCTTATGGGCTAGCAGTGAGACTCTGCAGCCCATCAGTCTTAGCCATTACTAATGCTGACCCTTGCAAAGAACCAAATCTCAAAATAAAACCCTTGCAAAGGCACACGCACATATGAAGGAGAGATGCATCTAGATGAATCGCTGATGGCCAAAAGTCATGGCTCTCCTTACATCTTGACTTCAATCCTCTAAGTGGGAAATACATTGAGGATCACAATAGCTTGCCTGTGGGTCTTCTAGTTTCTCTAACAATAAGAATGCTGTATATGAAGCCCACCTGGTGAACACTGTGGTGGGGCCAGGAGTTCTAAGGAGGCGCTGAACACAATTCAAAGAGCACACAAGTCAAACCCCTGTGTTTAAAGTCCTCACTTCAGTCTGGTTTTCAATGGTTAACGGGTGGTTCTATTCCATCTTGCATTTAGCCTCCCTCCTATAAGGGCCTGACCGAGTGCACACTTAGAAATCAATGAAACAATCTGGGATCCAAAGAGAGATCTCTGACAAAGAGAGGTGTCACTCAGAGATGCAGCTTCAGGAGGAAGACAGATAGGGCTGAACCTGATGAGTTTGGTAAAGAATTTTATTTTATTTCTCCTGGGTGAGCAGTTGACGCATGAGCTCACTATAGAAGAAGTTCTAGTGGAAATAAGGCTGGCATTTATGGGATGTCTTTTATCATCAAAATACTTAACAGGTCAATGAAATGTCCTAGCATAGCTGTGGGAGCAATGTTGGCCACGTTTTTTTACAAATGGTGAAAACAGACACAAGGAAAGTGGGGAAGGGCCACGGAAAGCCCAAGAATGACAGAAAGGGAAAAGTAGCTAACACTCGGTATAATGCTACTTACGGAGAAAAATATGTAAGACGTTCTTCGAGCATTATGGCCAAAACAATGGTGTCTTGAAGAGGGCAGTTTGCAAATGGCCAATGTGAGATGATTTGCAATAGAATCATTTCTTATATTAAATGATGCCTCTGATCTATTTCCATCAACATGAGGTCCATCTCCATAGAAACGAGGGAAAAAGTAGGCCAAACCCAGCAGTATGGTGTCTAGGAGGAGTGGCAGCTGAGGGTTGGGCCAGTCACAGAAAGCACTGGTTTTGTAACTACTGTCCACAACTCTTACTGGAAGGGAAAAAATAAAATGTAAACTCAAAGAATGGGCACAGACAGCATCTGAGGGCTTTACTGGGATTTCATACACAGCTGCAGAGGAAAAATGGTCCCATGTGCACTTTGCTTTTCAAATATCCCACAGGAAAGTCAGCCGCCGCGTGCTAAACAGGTACCTCCCTCCATGCTGGCCTCGGAGCAAGGAAACACGTTACATCAGTCTGACCGAGCTAGGAGTCAGAGGACCGTTGGGGTGCCAGGCCAGGCTCTCCCAGATAATGACCTGGGAAATGCTCAGTGATGTGGCCCAGGCACAGGAAGGAGAGTGGAGGTAGACCACGTACGTGAGATTATGGTGTACTCGGGCACTCAGTGCTCAGGGAAGCAGAATGCGTGGGGAAACAAGAGGAACCCACCTACTTGCAAAGAGTTTACGTTGTGCGGATATTTACAAAAGACCTCGTGGATGGGCTGTGAAAGTGTAAGTGGGCTTATGAAAGGGGCACCTCTGCTCTCTCAGTCCTTTCTAGGGAGGCCGGGGCTGCAGTGTGGACTGCACGTGAAAGCGCACAGCCGCAGCCCCTCACAGCCAGCCCGCCACTCCAGCCACTGCGTCGGCTGAACAAACGCAGGCCTCCTCCACCAGGAAGACGCCTGGCTGCTGCAGCAAGTCTGTGCGAGGCTCTTGACCAAGTGGTCGCCAGAGGCCCAGAGCATGGGACATGACCCCGGCTTTGTGTGATTCATTTAACCCCTTCACCCCGGAATTCCTTTGCAGGAAAAGAAAAACATGACACTTCTGTGGTGAAAGATTTCCTTAAAGGGGTAGAAGACATGGAAAACTCTGCTCTCTGAAATGAGGAACAGACGGTTTTCCTTGGGCAAGTTGAGATCTATAAGCCAAGCAGCTGAGTGCCAGCCGCTTGGTAGAGAAAAAAAAATCCAACGTGGTTGATGTGACCATTACCATGTGAAAACACAATGACTATCTTGTGCATTTCCTATTGATCACTTGGGGAGCTTAGGAAATGTAACATATGTGTCTGTAAGTCCTCTAAAATACATATTTTTTCTTTTTTCTTCTCACTGCATAGAACACATGCACATTCATATTATTCTTAAAGTCACTTGAAAAACACAGTGATTGCTTACAAACGGTGAAAAACACCAATAGGATGCAAAGAAATGAGCATTTGACAGAGACTAATCTTTGATGGGCTTTAACGTGTATTATTTTATTTAAAACAGGGATCCATCGGAGGTGGTGAACTACCAGTGTAAAGGTTCTAGAGCATGGCACACAGATGAAAGGTAATACTCACCAGCACCTCACATGGGACTAAAAGACAGTGTCAGCAACACACCATGGAAGGGAAACAAATAAAATGTAAAAGGCACCTGGCTGGGAGAGAAGCCGTGGTGTGCACCGCCTCTCAAGCAGGCTCACTTCTGCGCACTGTGGATAACTCTGGACAAACGACACTCAGAACAAACAAAAAAGGTTCTGATCTGAAGCCCAGGATCCTATGTGGGTAGCCAACCTTTCCTCGGGCTGGTTTACACCCACCGTGCGGTTTAAGGTCCTAAAAGGGGGATGGGTTTGCCAGACAGTAACACAAACGTTCTCCCTGTTGTTTTCTTTAGGAGAGAGAAGGGCTTTCCCCCAATTCAATTTCAGCAGCGGCTTCTGAAGGCTTTTAAGTATCCTAACTTAAGAACAAATAAAATAACAACAATAAAAGACAGAGTGGTGGCCTGAACTTAAACCAATCAGTCAAATGGGAGAGGCAGATTCATAAAAATAAAAACCGGTCACCAGTGTTAACATACCGTTAATGCCCTGTCTGAATGAAGGTGTTTCAACTAACTGCAACCACAATACACGCAAGCAGTGCTGCTCCGGGCAGCTGTGAGTGAGAGGCCGCCCTTCCTGCAGACGCTCCGTACAGCTACCCGAGACCGGACACCAAGTGCTGAAGTTGGAGGAGACCCCGAACTGGCAAAGGATCCCAGGCACTGACCTGCCTCATGTGGCTGGGTCTGTGGGGAACAAGACTCTCTCTCTCAAATAATGACCCCAAGTCCCCTCTCCTCGTCCCGATGGCACCGCATGGTTGCCCTCCCAACAGGGAGGTGTGCAAGCCTTTCTGTTTCCCTCTCGGTTCTAGGCACTCTCTGGGACGTCTGCGATTAACCAGTTTCTTTCATTTCTTTCCAACTCCGTTGGTGACTTTTGACTTGGAATGTCGATTCCTTCTTCTGGAAGAGTGGCTCTCGTTGTTGCCCGGATGCTTGGGTGGGCTGTCTTCAGAACCTGGCCAAAGGAATGAAAATACGCCGTCACCCTGGGTGTGGGGTTTGCGGGCTTGCTCCGCAGATAGGCAGCCCCTCCCGCTCAGGCCGCCCTCTTCTGCCGATACACGTGCTCCACCTAGTGGCCTCATGGATACATGAAGACAGGGCCCTGACACCCCAGCACGAGGGAGCCTGTGTAAGCAAGGGGAAGGCTCCACAGAGCTGGGGGCGGGGGCGGGGAGTGAGGGCGTCCTGAAGTGAGTGTACACTCTCTCTGTGTAAGGTGGACTGTGCTCATGGCGATGGGGTCCAGAAGTGAGTCTACAAATGAAATCAATTAAACCACATGGGTGTCGGGTCTACCCTCTCAACCGAAGGATGTATCCCCTAGGTTTCCACACCTTGACCTGTTACACACCACAGTTTCTACATCTGTAAATGAGAAAGGATTCCTGACTTTATGAAATTAAAGACAGCATGCTCTCTCTCATCTGATCCAGAGAACACCTTTAAAACCTAGGCCCCTGGGGCTCACGACAGCTCTGGAGCCTCCCACGAAAGACGCCACACCCCCTCAAGATGTTCACACCCCCTCAAGATGTTCACAGTCTACGGGGGCGGCAGTATTTGTCACGCTCTTATTTGTTTGCGACCTCAGGGAAAAACTTCCCTGTCAACTGGATGCTGAGCCACCCGCAGGCATCAGGCAGGTGGAGGGAGGAAGTGGGGGAGCAGGCAGGGTTGGGCCTTCTGAGTAACCGTGCGAAAGGAAGGCCTGGGAGGTGAGCAAAACTTCCTGAGATAGGGCTGGCTCTGCCTGAAGACTGAGCATGTGGCCCACCTCTGGCCCAGCAGTGAAGCCAGAGAGTTCTCTGCTCCAGGGCTCAGATCCAGCCCCCGAGGAAATCTCCACCCGAGAAGGTCACTAAAAAACAAACAAAAAAACAAAAACAAAAAAACTTCCCAGAGTTTGGTCTCCATTGCAAAGGCCATTTGGCTTTATCCAAGAGATTCTTTTACTGCTCTGAAGATTCTCGTTTTTGTTTATTCTTCTGTCTACCTTTCATTTCTATCTCTACCACTGCTTACTTCATGCAGTCTTTTCAATGGAGAAGGGCCTGTAAGAGCCAAGAGCGGATCTGTGAGGGGATGGTTCTGAAGGACAGAGCCCCAGGGAACCCCTCCGTCCACTTCTATCAGCATTCCAAAAATCAGGCACCGATCGACCCCTTGATTCGCAAGTCTCGAAAAGGATGATCAGCAACTCAGAAGAGAGCATGCTAGCATTTTCCCCAGAAAGAACTCTCAAAAGCTTGACCCCAAAAGAACTCTCAAAAGCTTGACTCCAAGAACTCAGGAAAGCAACTGCAACAGTAGTGCCTTCCTCTCCCTGGGCTCACGGTTTCTCCAGGCAATTCTGTGAGCTAAAATTCACCATCTCCAGCATTTATAACTCTCTTCCCTCAGACAGCTTTCCAATCAGCTCATGAGAATTGACCAGAGATTACTGGCTGGTAGAGCCTCCTTGGTATCATTCCATAAGCCTTAATTCTTTAAAATAGCCAGGTGGCCCCAGATCTTTCCAAAAGGCTCCTTGGAGAGGCCAACGGCAGACCCCTGGCTATAATACCAGAATCTCTCTCACACAGGCTTGCCTCCTGAATAAATACAATGAAATCAATCCACCTCTTCCGAAAGACTTCTCCCAGTGCACAATTCTTCCTAACCCTTTTAACTCAGGATGAAAGCCAAGAGGAAGAACATTCCCAACAGGGTGCTTGGGACAGGAAGGGCCTCGTTATGTTTTCCTGTGTCAGAAGAGGCAGAACCACATGGTGCCTCTTCTTAAGGAGCAAGTTTCTTGGGCAGATCCTGCCAGTACGTTGCAGTTTTCATGAATAAGTAACAGGCGACACGGGATGAGTCGGCATGAGACCCTTCAGGGCATATACTTATCTCCATTCTGAGGATAAATCTTGATTCCAAATCTGCTCACTGGGCCTCGGAGGAAGAAAACCCAGGAAAGTTGTTTGTTTGTTGAATGTTTGTTTATTTTTGAGTGAGGGGGGAGGGGCAGAGAGAGGGAGACACAGAATCCAAAGCAGGCTCCAGGCTCTGATCCCTCAGCACAGAGCCTGACATGGGGCTCGAACTCACGAACCGTGAGATAATGACCAGAGCTGAAGTCAGACGCTCAACTGACTGAGCCACTCAGGCGCCCCAAGAACCCAGTAAAGTTTTAAGCGGTGAGGAAGAAATACCTTTTGTACCTTTGCCATGAGACCAAGAGATATCCGGACTGTAGGTGCCATCTTCACACTCGGAGAACGTCTGGAGAGAGAAGCAGACTTAGTGATGGAGTTTCAAGGACTGCCTGGGGCCGCAGGACAAGCCAGGAAGGTCCCTCCGCCCCTGCACCACCACCGAGTGACAGAACCTCCCATCTTATGTTCCTTGGCTATAAAGCCATGACTCTCTCTCAGGTGATACAGAACCATTCTTCTAGGAAGAACCCTTAGTTCCTCAGACGTAAGGTATGAATCGAGTATGAAAGCTATTATTTTACTTAAAAAGATCTTACGCTTTGCAGGATTGCTACAGTGTTATAAGCCTGCTCGCAGTCCACTGCGCCGTGGGCAGGGCGCATGGCTGACAGTGGGGGAGCGGCCCCAGGCTGGGTCACAGAGGCCCCCGCAAAGCACAAGAGCCAGGAACAAAACCCAGCCTTTCAAAACCCGGTCCGGGGCTCTCCCCGCAATTTTATTTTTAAACAGACACATAATTAGGTTTTAAGCCCCTTATAAAAGGGAGGGTAAAAAACACCAACCTACTCAACAGGGCGCTCACAAGCGCGGGCAGCAACCGATAGGGGAGAGGTCCTGAACCGGTTATGTTTCCAGAGCGGCAGGACTGAAGCTGCGTGTGCACACAGCGGGCTACACCACATTCTCACAGGAGTGGGCCTCCCTGCTGAAGCTCCAAGCAGGACGTCATTGTTTTACAGACAGACCATCCCTGCCTTCCCTTCCATACCTTTTCTCGGTGACCATAGTGCTCTGCGTACCAAACCATGCCGTACAGACACAGGAAGGTGGTGAAGGCCTGGCAGAGAAAACGAAGCATATTTCATAAAACGATGTTGCAGCAAAAAAACCCCAAAGCCCATTTCTCAGAACTTCAGGGTCCCAACAGTGACGCAAGGAGGATGGCTCGCTGTGGTTCTGCCATCTCTCCGAGGACACTGGTTACAAAATGACAGAGCTCAGCGGGGTTGGGGAGAGTGTTCCCCCACAGCTTTTGAAAAGAGTTAGGACAAGGCCATAGTTACTATTTATGATGCTAATAATCAGAACACAAGATCATTTTTAGGTGTAGGAGGTATTTTCTGCACAGTTTTGCAAGTCTTCCTTGAGAGGGTACATAGGATTGTATATATGCTGTATTTCTGGTTCTCACGGCCCCGTCCTCTGCCCCCATCAGCTGGAAAGTTACAAGGACTCTCAGTTTGTGACCTTCCATGGGGAAAAGACGAGTTCTGAATGAAAAAGGAGCTTCATTCAGTCTGGGATCACGGTGGCGCTGGAGGGCATCTAGGACCGAGGCCCACTGCGTCTGAGTGGGTGGCCCTGCACTGCTTTCTCGCTGTTGTTTTATCTCTGTGGACCCATCCCAACCCCAGTTCTGGTGGCTTTTGTTTCTCTTCTGTAAGTAGATGGGAACAGTCAGAGGAAACAAAACCGCTCTGTAAACCCCTGAGTGAAATGAGAAGGACATGGCCCGTGGGTGCCCAGGGGCAGGGATAACCTCTACTTCCCCCCAAGACTCCCCACCCACCGTGCACCACACCCCAAATTATACTCCAATTTATGCAAAAAATGGCATCTACAAGAGTCTGAAGTTTTAAAATGTGCCAAAACACTGACAATCAGGGAGAAGTTTCTGGCTGCCTTGCCAGAGCACTAAAGGAGAGAGGGAGGATGTGCGTCAGCAGAGGTCTGGACACAGAAGTCTCTGCCAGGCCCTTCGGGCAGGCCTGACCTTCCCAACAGTAAGTGAATCACCAAAACAAAATGACTGTCTGTCCCTCCTGTCCTTAGAATTCCTTGCCTTAGGAACTCACTGACACCAAAGCATCTGCCCTGTCTAGTCTCTAGCTCTTCTCCTACGTTTCCTGTTGAGGGCTGTCACCTTGAACCAACCATGTGACAGTCATGAAATCATGGCAGAACCTTCTCTTCTTGAATAATTTTAATTCTTTCCAAGAATCATAACTTTATTTTTTTAATTTTTAAAAATGTTTATTAATTTGAAGAGAGAGAAAGGAGTGGAGGAGGGGCAGAGAAAGAGAGAGAGAGAGAGAGAGAGAGAGAGAGAGAATCCCAGGCAGGTTCCACATTCAGCACAGAGCCTGATGTGAGGCTCGATCCACAACCATGAGATCATGACCTGAGCCAAAATCAAGAGTCAGATACTTAACTGAATGAGCCACTCAGGTGTCCTAAGATCCTAACTTTAGATCCAAAAGATCTCATTCATTGCAACTCCTCTCATTTCACAGGAGGGGAATAAATGTTTAGAGAGGCAAATGGCCTTTTCAAAGGCACACAGCTAGTATGTGGCAAAAATGGAGCCTGAACACAGGTCTTTTGCTATTCCTGGATCCAAGTTTTAGAGATGGCGGGAGAGACAAACAAATACTGATTTTATGTCTATCCATCCACCCACTCACCCACCTCTGGAGAAAGAAAAGCATCCAAGGACCAGCCAGGACTAGCTGCATCCCTGTGCACAGCCCCCAGACAAACGCATGGAGCCAAGACTGTAGGGAAGGCAGGGGCTGTGAACGCTCATCACTGCAGCGCACAGCCTAGCTCTGGCCCCGTTCCTGTCAGTCCACAACATTTGCTAAGCGTCTGTTGGGTGTGCAGTGTCCTCTTAAGTGCAGAAAGACAGGAGTCTGAGTGCTCTGGCTGGCCTTCTCCTAAGTCAGTGAAGTTTGAATTTCAGCATGGTGGAGACATTAACATGAAATAGAAGACCCATGGGTTCGTTTTATTTTAAATCCATATGCAAGCAGACATACACATGCAGATGAGGGATTTAAAGAAAAGGAAGCTCATATCCTCCCCCATCAAAAAATTAGGCAACGGTGGTGCCTCGGTGGTTCACTTGGTTGAGCATCTGACTTCAGCTCAGGTCATGATCTCGCGGTTCATGGGTTTGAGCCCTGCATAGGGCTCTGTGCTGGTAGCTTGGAGCCTGCAGGCTGCTTCAGATTCTGTGTCTCCCTCTCTCTGACCCTCCCCTGCTTGTGCTCTCTCTCAAAATAAATTTTTTTAAAAAAAATCTTAAAAATTAGGCGATGAATGAATATATTAAGATTATAAAATGATAGTAACTTATAACCTTTAACATATTCTAGTACTTACTCAGATTTCTAATATACACCACCATTACACACACCATTTTCGTGGCATGGGAAGAGAAGGGAAGACTAGACGATTTGCAGTGTGTAAGCTTATGTGTGTGTTTGCACCTTTACGAAGGGCAAAACAGACTGTCCGAGGTTTGAGGGGGTGGAGAGTGGGGGGGCAGGTTCCACCTCCGCAGACCAGTCATTGGCTGTGCCTGTGCGATGGAGGTGGAGTGGGGAGGCCGGCAGACAGCTGCGACTTCACAGGACTAAGGGGGCGGTGAGCGCGGAGCTGCCTGTCATTGTGAGTCCTGCCCACTGGAGGGCAGGCATGTGGTGCTCTGCCTTCTCCAGCCAGGTCCCTGGGAGGGCAGGCAAACACTGGCACCTCACAAGCGACAGGTGCTTATCGTCACACAAAGGGGCTGCCGTGGTTGCCAAATTTACCACTTCAACCTGGGTAATTAGAGACCCATTTCACACTTGTCCCAGGAGACAAAAGCTTGTAATTTATGGGTTTGCAATCACACCTGTGAAAATCTAGGCCCGTCTCCATTTAAAATGTAAGGTCCTGGATTTAAAATAGCAATTGTGCAGATTTTGTTTAAAGAGAGGGAAGGAAAAAAAAAGGGGAGAAAGAAGGAAAATATGTAGGATGAGAGCCAAGGCAGCACACAACGGCGTGGTGTGTGCTGGCAATGAGGGTGGAAGATCTCCCTGGGCTTCCAGTGAGAGTAATGAGCATGCAAATCGCCGATGACTGATCCCACGACTGATGAGGAGAAACTTAACAAATCAGCATGCGGGGATCTCTGCTTCTGCATTAATCTTGACGTCTGGAGATGTTCTCTTACCAAGCAAGGGAAATAATTAGGGGCTTTGTTTCTCCGAGTGGTAAGGGAGGCATGGCCAAACTCTCCTACTGAATAACGTTCACCTCACTCCAATCTTGATGTTTAATAAAGGCCATGAATACAGGCAGTGGGGACACCTAATCATCCTGGCCAAAGGTCTCATTTCAGGCCAGGACCCCTCCAGGGCACTAATAATGCTCATTAGGGGAGTCTGCTTCCTCTTGAAAGGCCTGCTCTCTTGAGGCTGTTTCTCAGGCTTGGCCTCTTAAATGCGGCTGCTCCACAGAACATTCTCAGCCAGCTTCTGCCCATGCTATGTTCCCCTACCCACATCCAGTGGCTCCCATCCTGCCCTGTGCAACAGCAGTCCCCAACTCTTTTACCTCCATTGCTGACCAAGTCTTTCCAGTGTTACTGGACAGACCGCCATTTCCAACGATAGAGGACATGTTTGGCTGCAAGTTAAGGGTCCCTCAAATCCCAACACTCTAACCCAAACCATCTCCTTTCACCCAACGGGCTTCTCTGATATCCCCCAATCTGTTACTACCTACCACCAACACAGCCACCCAGTGGCACAAGCTAGAGTTGGGGAGTCACCCTCACACTATCACAAGGGGTTGGCATCCTGTGGGGCTGACCTCTTGAACAGCTCTCAAATCCAGCCCTCTCTATGCATCTTCCATGCCACCACCCCTGGGTCAGCCTCAGTTATTTCTTACCTGGGACCCTCAACACCCTCAGACAACACCTCTGTTCCCTCCAGACTCTCCCACCCACACAGCCTTCCTCTGTGAACAGGTGTCTTCCCACCGGATTCCTCTCTTTGGATCTCCAACTTCAGACACACAGGGTGCTTCCTAAGCAGATGTCCCTTGTCCCCTCCCCCACCTAGATCCTCCTCACTCTCGCTCAGAAGCGAGTCTTCCTGGGAAGCTGGGCACGGGCACAGCTGCATGCCTTCATACATGCCTGTCTCTCTGCCTGCCTGTGTGTCTCCTGGTCCTTGTCTCTTGAACTCACTCCTTTATTCTCCATGCATTTGCTGAGTGAGTCCCAAGCATCAGGGACTGCACTAGAGTCAGTGGGAACAAAAAGACAACAAAAACTTAGGCTTCATGAGCAAGAAGTAAAATGCTGAGGAAACAGATGTAAACACCACAGGTTACATTAAACTGAGGTTAGAACTCAAAGAAATATGTACCAAGTGTGACTGGTCCCCCATAGGGGTTATCCAGGCTGCCTGGTGGATTGGGGTGCATTCATAGAGGGCGTGAATTTAGTCTGGTCTTGGCATAAGAGTCACTAGGTAGAATAAGCAGGGAAAAGCACTCAGACCAGGCAAAGAAAATGCCCTCGGTGAAGACAAGAGAAGTGTGGAAGGATTTGCTGAGGTGGCTAAGTCCAGGCTGGGGTGGCCCAAGAAGAAAGTACCAGAGGGCAGGTATGATGACTGCTCCAGATAATGACCGTCCTAAACACACAAGCAACATATTTCAGCTGGTAGGATGTACGGTAAGGATCCTTCTTCCTTCTCGATGTTTCTTTCTACACAGAAGGAGCCTTGCTGGTATAATACCCCTGCTCCTCTCTACTCCTCACCCCTTACCCCAGGGAGATTGAGTTCTCTCTTAACCGACTGGTGAATATGAAATGAGAAAGCTGGACATTTCCTGTCTTCCTTGGGTGCAAGGCCACCAACATAACACAGGGAGGCCTACTTCCTGGGGTGGGAGAGTGTCTCATTTGGGGGCTCACTATTTGGAAACCCCTTGTTGCCAGGCATCTAAAGCTGAGGTTGAAAAATGTGTATCCTCCATGATAAAGATGCTATTCTGATCTCCACATCCTTCTTTCACCCTATCTTTTGACTATTCTGAACTGTAAAGTGTTGTATTATTGGCTCCTCTCCAGCCCCCAATGTCAGGGAATGGTCCTGAGCAGGGAAAGAGATACAGATCTGAGTTCTAGAAGATCTATGCCTGGCAGCGGCATAGAAAGTGGATATGAGAGGCAAAATGGGGAGGGACATGCATGTCCAGAGAGCGGGAATGGAGAGGAGGGGACAGAGCTGGGCTACATAGTTGGGATGGACAGAACCTGGTGACCCGCTGATTTCAAGAGTGACAGAGGAGAGGAAGCAGCCTGTGAGGTTTCCAGCCGGGAGAGCATCTAAGGCAACCCTTCAAAATCCTGCTCACATGTTTTATCAGGAGCCCTCAGCAGCTCCCCCGCTTGCCTGGTGCTCTCTAGCGCCCCTTTAGCACTACGAACAACCCTTCATGATCACATATTAACATGATGAGTTTGCATGGCCAACTCCCATCTGGACTTGGACAGCCTTGGAAAGGGACACCTTTTGCAGGGGGGTAGGTGGGGGAACAGGAACTCTCTTATCAGACTATCTGGATGTAGGCCCTGGCTCTGCCACTTACTATCTGTGTGACTTGAGCCAATGAGTGAACCTCTCTGGGCCTTTCTTTCATCTATAAAAGATGGCTAATAAAGTATCTCCCCTCAAAGTAACAACTGAACATGCAATTCAGGGGAAGTGCTTAGAAGAGAGCCTGGCATGTTGTGAGCATTAATAAATCTTATCTTGACCATTATCTATCCGTGCAGGTCCAGCATTGGGCGAAGCTTTGAGGAACACTCAGTAAACGTTCTGTGAACAAATGACAGACTTACAGGGACAGTGCCAGGGGAAGGAGAGACCAATGAAGGAACAAGAAGTGATTCATGTCCTCACTGAGGTGACAATGACACAGGCACCATGGCAAACCAAAAGTCACCAACATATAGGAGCATATGCTAAGTGTCAAATAAGTAAAATAGAGAAAAGTCTCGAAAACTGAGAGACTAGAGGAGCCCGTGCAGGGCAGGGGACCAGAGAGGGCTTCTTAGACACGGCCTTTCTGGCTGCTCTTCTCAAAGGAGTCCCGCCTGCCTCGGCCTCTCTGTGGTCCACGTGGCTCTGGCACCAGGTGAGGGCCACACCCACCTCTAGCTGCTTCCATACTCAGTCATGATGCTATTCACACACCTGAGGCACGTGTGCCAGAGAAAAACGGGAGAAGCATACGGTGAAAATCTCCAGGCACAACTAAACACACTCCCCTAATCAAGTCTTACATCTAGTCTCACTGGGCTGGAAAAAGAACACTTGAACATTAATTCTGCAGTATAGGTACAAAGGAGATCATTATTTCTTTTCATTATTCAAGACAAAACAGGACAGAACAGGCTCGAGCGAGGTTCTCTGGTGCAGTTAAGATTTCTAACAAGTAACCCTAAAAATAGATGCTGTGAGAGGAAATAAAAAACACCTTAAAAAACAGTCTTGCCAAAAAAAAAAAAAGTAGACCTGAATCTGTTTAAGCCTCTAGATTCAACTACTAATTTGCAGAAAATACAAAGGACAAAGAAATCTGTTAAGTTACAGTACACTATGAAATCAGTAAAATCCAGACTGTGGGAAAATCTACGGGACAGAAGAGCTGGATCCTTCAATCAATAAATCATGAAAGACATAGAGTTTAAGCCAGAGGCTTAAACTATACATTAAGAGAATTACAGGGCACACCAACCAATTGCAACAAATGAATGTTGTTCAAAGAGACTGTTCGAAAAATATCTAATTTTGAAAAATATTAAAAGTCTGAACGCTGGATATTTGACAGTATTACGAAATTATTCTTTTTCAGATGTGATAATGGTATGGTGGTTGCATTCAACAGGAAAGCATTCTTACCTTCTTGTACAGATACATCCTGAAATATTAAAGGTGGATCCGTTTCAAAATAATTCAGCAAGAGAGTAGGGAATATAAGGAAACAAGGCTGTGCAGGAGGTGAGCATTGTTGAAACTGGAGGGTGGATGAGTACATATACTCATATATGTGGATGAGGGCTCATATACTCCATCTACTTCCACATATGTTTGAAATGTTCTATGATTACCAAGAAAGTCCAAGTTAACTTTCTGGACCAAGCAAGTAAAAGTGAAGAATCTTAAGCTTAAATGTAACATAAGACATCTGTCCAAAATAATAGAACAAATTAAGAAGGGCAGACACAGAATGCTTAAGGTAGGTTAAGATCATACTTAATTTTGTTTTTTTTTAAGATTATTTATTTATTTTAGAGAGAGAGAGAATTCTAAGCAGGCTCCGCACTGTCAGTCCATAGCCCGACTTGGGGCTCTATCTCATGAAACGCGAGATTATGACCTGAGCCAGAACCACAAGTCAGACGTCCAACCGAGTCAAGATCGAGCCCTACGTTGGTACAGAGCATGCTGGACTCTCTGTCTCCCTCTCTCTCTGCCCCTCCCCTGCTCATTCTCTCTCTCTCTCAAAATAAATAAACAGACATTAAAAAAATAAAGATGATGGAAAAGTCCCAGGACAGTGGAGCTAGAGACCCTCAAGAGCTCTTCCCTTCAGAGAGGAAGCTCATCCCATAGGGTTTGGCCCATAAAGTCAGTCTGTGGGGCAGAAACTACATGGTCTGATTACCTTCAAGGACACCTCTCTTGGGGCACCTGGGTGGTTCAGTTAGTTAAGCCTCTGACTTTGGTTCAGGTCATGATCTCACAGTTTGTGGGCTCAAGCCCCATGCTGGGCTCTGTGCAGAGCCTGGAGCCTACTTCAGATTCTGTCTCTCTTTCTCTCTCTGCCCCTTCCCTGCTCGTGTTCTCTCTCTCTCTCAAAAATAAGCATTAAAAAAAAAATCTCTCAAGGCCTATGCACCACAGTCTGTCGTTTTGTCCATAAACCTTTGTACAGCAATATATACACTATAGGGCACTATAATTGTCCTTGTTCCTTCACGGAGGCCTGCATGTAGGTGAATTCCCACAAGTGACATTAATGCACGTATGGTGCACCTGCTGAGGGCATTTGACCAGAACTTTCCAAGGTGACCCATTTTGGATGCTGGGTGGTCCCATGTATTTAATCTTGACCTTCAGACTAGTGACCAATTTAGGATTATTACAAGTAGAAGGTCTGGTCTATGAATTTCTTAAAAAACTAGGTGCACAAGAATTTTTGCTGTTGTTGTTTGTTTTTTTAAAAGAGACACCATGGGGAGTTTCACTAACACTTTTGGGTAAAAAAGGGATGTTTTTTAAAAGAAGTAAACTTACCACACAAAGAAGCCAAAGCACAACGTAGAGTATTTGGGTCTTAGAGAAGAGATCTTGTCCAAATTTTATGCACACGATGGCTTCCAGGAAACCAATGACCCTAGTTAGAATAAGAGGTTAAATATGAATCCATCTTGCCAGAGCATACACATTCTACATAAATATGCATTACGCCATCATTACATACTGCTCACACGTTCCCCACAAAATTACACTTGTTCTTTTCCACTGCAATTTCTTCAGAAATAACATACATTTATATTTAATACTAACCATATTTAACTCTTATTTCTCTATGACTTTATTTTTTTAGAGCAGTTTTAGGTTCATAGCAAAACTGAGGGCAAAGTACAGAGATCTGCCATATACCTCTCCCCTTATCACAATCCCTGACCAGAGTGGTCCATTTCTTACAACTGATGAAGCTACACGGACACATCGTCATCACCCAAGGACCAGAGTACACACGAGAGTTCACTCTTGGTGCTGTACATTCCCTGGGCTTCAACTAATACACAGTGATGTGCATGTAACATTAGAGGATCACACAGAGTAGTTACACTATCCTAAAAACCCTGTGTTCTACTTTCCCAGAAATATTAAACTATTTTTCACTCCTTCCCTCCTCCCAGACCAGAACCTCCACTCATACATTTTAATAGCTGGAAACATCCATTTGAGCACCAATCATGTTCCAGGTGAACTGTCACCACCTTCGTCAGCACCCTCTCAGCGACAGAGAACCTACTACCATGGTGGGTGGGCTTATTCTGCCACTCAATCTCTTTAGCTGTGGGGAAGTTCTCCTTGTCTCAGGCTGGTATCTGCCCACTTCTGCCTGTGGGTCCTAACTCTGCCCTCTTGGCGTACAGGGTGAGTCTGAGCCTTCCAAGTAAGTCAGTAATACGAAGGCAGCAATCACATTCCCTCCCAGACTTCCAAGCATTGCCAGGTTCAATATTCCCCATTCTGGATGGCAATATAAGTAAGCCTTTATTCTCTAAATACAAAAATGTTAAAAACAACAACAACAACAAACTTTGTTTTACTTTTTAATTAAAAGAGCCAAGAAAAAGTCACTCTTATATTCTGCACCTTCATTTATAAATATAAAAATCGAACCTTAAAATTAAAAACTCAGGAAACAACAGATCTTGGTGAGAATGTAGATAAAAGAAGAACCCACTTGTGCACTGCTGGCAGGAATGCAAACTGGTGCAGTCACTCTGGAGGACAGTATGGAGGTTCCCAAAAAATTAAAAATAGAACTACCCTATGACCCAGCAACTGCACTACTAGTTATTTATCCAAAGGATACAGAGGTGCTGGTTCATAGGGGCACATGTACCCTAATGTTTATAGCAGTGCTTTCAACAATAGCCAAATTATGGAAGGAGCCCAAATGTCCACTGACTGATGAATGATTACATGTGGTACATATATACAATGGAATACTACTTGGTAATCGAAAAGAATGAAATCTTGCCATATGCAACAACATGGATGGAACTAGAATGAATTATGCTAAGCTAAATAAGTCAGTCAGAGAAAGACAAATATGATTTCACTCATATGTGGAATTTAAGAAACAAAACAGGTGAACACAGGAGAAGGAGAGGAAAAATAAGATAAAAACAGAGAGGGAGGCAAACCATAAGAGACTCTTAAATACAGAGAACAAACTGAGAGTTGCTGGAGGGGAGGTGGAGGAAGAATGGGCTAAATGGGTGATGGCATTAAGGAGGACACAGTACTGGGTGTTATATGTAAGTGATGAGTCACTAAATTCTATTCCTGAAACCATTATTACCTTATATGTTAACTAACTGGGATTTAAATAAAATTTTTTTAAAAAATTTAAAAGATCAGGCCTTTATTAAGGTTCCAAGAGTGCAGGTAAGAACGGATGAGGTGAGCATGACAGAGCTGGTCATGTGATCCCAAAGACAACCCAAGAATACGGATTTCAGACAACTCCACCTCAGGGGTTCCTTACCCCAGATGGAATCTGGTCAATCAGGGTTGGCATAGTAGCAGATATTCACTCAAAAGGCAAGAAGGGGCCCAGAAGGTCCTTGGTCCCCCCCACCCCTGGGAAGACACAAAGATCACTGCCAGCATCAAATGTACAGATGACTCGAAACAAGTGAACGCCCCAAATCTAAGCCAAAGCAGAAAATCCCCTTAATTTATCTTTAGAAAGTTTGGGGCTCTTTTCCTCTAGCCCCAAGCAAACAATGTTTAGGAGTGACTGGCCTGAATCCTTTAAAGACCACCTCCAGCCCACGCCCCCGCCCTCCCCACCAACAAAGGCCATGTGTGAGAAAGCATCATTCAAGCTGCGATACATGAAGGGCTTTTTTTTTTTTTTTTAAATAGTTTGTCAAGTTAGTTTCCATATAACACCCAGTGTTCATCCCCCACAAATGCCCTCCTCCATGCTCATCATCCCCCTACCCGGCCCTCCCCCATCAGCCCTCAGTTTGTCCTCAGCGTTCAAGAGTCTCTCATCGTTTGCCTCTCTCCCTCTCCCCACTATTTTTCCCCTTCTCCCCCATGGTCCTCCGTTAAGTTCCTCCTAATCCTCCTATACGTGCAAACATGATATTTGTCCTTCTCTGCCTGACTTATTTCGCTCAGCATAACACCCTCAAGTTCCATCCATGTTGCTACACATGGCCAGATTTCATTCTTTCTCACTGCACGAAAGGCTTTTAAGTGTAGGGCTGAGTGTCCCTAGAATCCTCAAGTCTGGACTGTGAGCCGACACTAGATGGCAGCACAGTGCCAACAGGTGCCTGTGGAGGGGACTCCAAGAATATTTAATTTAACCTTTGGCTGGGACTTCTTGAAGGACTACAACAGCAAATGCTCAGCCCAGAAAGTCAGTGTGCTTATCTACCTTTAAGCCAGACTGAACACCCAGAGTATCCTGTGAGATTTTGGGGTATTCAACTTGATCAAATCACCTTTCAAAAACACAGTGACTAGGGCCATGGTTCTCGAACTTTTATGATCTGAGACCCACAGCAAAAAACACATTGTGTGTGTGTGTGAGCCAGTAGACAGACAGACAGACAGACAGACATACACACACACCCAAAACAAAAGTTTCACAAAACAGTCTGTTCCTTTACTTTGGACATTTTTTTGTATTCTATTTCATGTTAAGAAAATGCTGGTCAGGACCCACTCAACTGACTTTACAATGACCCGAAGTTAAAGACCACAGAGCATTTCAGTCAGCAACTTTAGGGTTAGGATTTGCTCCTCTGTGCTGAGGAAACTTAGTTAAACTGTTGTCTGTGTGCATGGACTTCTCAGTGAGAACGCGACCACTGGGCAAAGCAGGGTGGGGGAAGGGAAGGGGAACACTGATCTTGAGGGCCACACTAGGGCTTAGCTTTTAGTCTGAGAGAGGGTTTTGAGCAAAAGATTTTTTCACATGATTCAACTTACATTAGGAACAGGGAGTCTTCTAATCCAGGGAGGGGACCCAGGGAGTAGCTGTGGAGGTGTGAGAAGGGGTGGGAACTGGGATACATTAAGCCCAGCAATCACATGGACCCTTTCACCACCAGTCATTGCCCCTCCACCATTATCCCTGCCCCCCCAGAGGGAATCCCAATAAATAAAGTCCTTAGGGAAGACTAACACTGCTTTTGTGTAAGATCCAATGGCTGCTCTTTTAGGGCTGAGTCCAAAAGGCTTGGACACACTGGGAGCCTGTATTATTGAGCCTGTCACCTGCGATAGCACAACCTCCTCAGCAAGGGGGATTTAAATCCATCCGATCTTTACCAGCCTGAACTAGGCGGCCAAACTGTGGTCTGGTGGAATTTAGTCAGGACAACTATTTCCTTAGATGCCTCTGCCCATCCTTATCTTTAATTAGAAAGGTTACAAAGCAGACAAGCACACGGGCTAAGGTGCTCCTGCCTGGGGACAAGGGCCTTCTCAGCTTCCCTGCCCTGTAGAGCCTGCTCTTTCCAGATGTGGTGGAAATAAAGATGACATGAATGTGGAGTCCAGGGTAAGCTCTTCAGTGAATGGGATAAGAATGTAAGCAGGGTCACTGCAGAAACCTGGGCACGAAAGCACTAGGCTCCATGAGCATAAACTGGGTGCATGAGCCAAAAAGCAGAGGAAGTTTTCAGCTTGCCAACAGAAACTGCTTTTGGATTCTGAGGACGCCATAGCCTCGGTGCACCTCACATACGCTGCATGTACTGCCCCATGGCTGCACCGGGACACCCTGCTGGGGTGGCTCGAGGTGTGTAAGCCTCTCCGTCTGGCCAGCCAGGAGCTGACCCCCCCAGCAGCGGGAAATAAGACGTGCGTGCCCGTGACATACCTACCACACAGTCACAATCACAATCACACAGGTAACCAGGAGCTTGTTGAGGAGGAAGGTTCCAGTTTGGGTTAGGGGGAGCAGAGGCACCTTTTTAAAGGAAGTGATGAGCTAGGCTTTACCAGATAGAAAAACAAGGTTCCACCGTGTTCCATGGAACTTTCTGACTTCCCAAAAACCCCAGGGGCAGGGTGGGGTGGGTAGGAAGAGGGTCAAGAGGGTCCTTGGCAGCATACCCATGACAGTTCTGCTCAACTGCTTCTTTTTTTTTTTAAGTTTATGTATTTTGAGCGGGGAGGAGAAAGAGAGAGAATGCGAAGGAGAGCAAGAGACGGGCAGAGAGAGAGGGCTGGAGAGAATCCCAAGCAGACTCTGCACCATCAGCACAGAGCCTGATGTGGGGCTCAAACCCTTGAACCATGAGATCATGACCTAAACGGAAATCAAGAGTTGGAAACTCAACTGACTAAGCCACTCAGGCGCCCCCTGCTCAACTGTTTTGCTATTGTAATGGATTTGAGGCAAGATGTCATGGGATTCAACCGCTAAAAAATTTTTTTGTACCTACCGTGAGGTTTGGGGCTGTCAGTGGAGGGGTTTTTGAGGAAGGAAGCGGGGTGGCGAGATAAAGGACAGACAATGGATCGTGACAGGATCCACAGACAGGATGAAGGGAAAGACAATGGAAAAGGGAAACTATAATGCTAGCCCAGCAGCATGAGGATGGAGGGCATGACCCAGAGGTGGGCAGACAGGGAGGGAAGGTGAGGAAGGCAGGAGGCTGTGGACAAAGGTCAGCAGCAGCGGGTGAGGACCTGGCGGTGCTGGGAAAAGGTCAGAGTGGGATGACATCTCCCACAGACATCTGTTCCCCTCGCATGCACCCTCCTCCTGGAAGAACCCTATGCCTCACAGCTGTTGTCTATCCTTCCAGGGGTGGGGGGCAAAGCCTGGAGGAACAAGCCCCATTATAAGAAACTGTGGAGAGGAGTGATGGAGAATGGATGGCCTGCAGAGGAAACTGAGAAGGAACAGTTTCAAGATGGCAGATGCCGCGGGGAAGACGGGAGATGCGGATGGAGGAAGGACCTGCTGATCTGGGACAGGCCTTGGCGAGGACAGTTCAGCAGAGCACTGAGCACTGATGATGGAAGCTTATCATCAAAGGGGCACCAGTAGGGTCAGGACAATGTGGAGTAAAGGGCAGTTCTGACAGTGAGGCAGATGTGGTCCTGGGCCACCCAGAGAACAGTGGACTCTTACCCAAACCAGCCCCCAAAGGTCCCTCCCAAGTACTTGTAGGGCAAGGAAAAGTGACTGCTCACTCCGACTACGACCAAAGCTTGAACACCTTCCTTCAGGGCCATGTGGTCAAATTCTTTTCTTTATAAATCAAGTTACTTCTCTCTTTGCTCAGAACCTGCCCTGGGGAACCTGTTCACATCGGTCTGTCCCTGACGCCCCCACAGAGCTGGAGCAGTGCAATGGGACTTTCTAAAGAGAGCAGGGGCCAGCCTTTTCACACTACTGCTTTCTCCTTGGTGGGGTTCCCGTTCCCCGGCTGGATGGAGTCCCATCTCTCCACTGGGCACGGCAGGTTTAAGTAGAAAAGCCTTAAAAGCTCGGATTTATGGCACAACTGTGGGAGACCACATTGTGAGTCCATTTTTAGTTAAATCAGCGAGTAATTAACACAAACCTTTTCAGGGTGTAACATCTGCAGAAGAGAAAAAGTGCTCTTTTCAGGAGAAAAAGATGTGGAATGGTGGGTAAGACACCTCAGGAGGTCCTGTTTGCCCTTTCCTTTCCCGTGCCCACCTTCCCTAAAGGCAAAACTTTGACTGGCACTGTGTGGGGCGCTTCTATTCTGTTCCCCCACCTCGCCACATCTTGCTAACTAAAGCCTGAAATTACTCCAAAACTAGTGGAAAGGAAGCTATAAAGCAGCTACTAGGAGACGGAAAAAAGACGAAATGAGGGCAATGGGGAGGGGGCAGAAGGAGGAAGGTGGCGGCCTCCGAGGGACAAACCCGCAGAGAGAAGAGACAGCTCGGGCCCCTTGCTTCCCCGTCGCTGGCTGACAAGAGGTGGCTCTCGCCAGTGCTCACGCACCCAGGCGGATGGCTGGGTGTGGTTTATGGAGAGGAATCTGTTCTTTTCGGCGTGGCCCACTAGTTCTCAAGATGCACAAGTCCTGTTACCAGCATTCTGGGAGCTCGCGATTCTCGGAAAGCACATTCAATGGGCCAAATGAGATCTCCTTTGGCATTTTACTTTCCTTGAGCCCTTTTCAACAAGGTGTGGCTTTCTGCAGCAGCGTTTTCTGCCGCTCCAGCCTTGTTTAGCTCTGCCATTTCTCCTACCGGTAGGGATGGTATTTTGGCTGCCTGATTAGAAACCAGCTTTGCTGTAACACCACCTCTCTCTCTGATCAGCATCTCCTTTTCCTCAAAGGTAAACAGACACAGTCGTGTGGAGCATACGTGCACTCACAGCAGAATAAGGCTTTGGCAAGGACCTCAGAGTCTGAAGAGGAAACTGCGTGTGGAAAGAAGGCATAAGCGATGGAGGAGGTCTCAAACACTGTGTGGACAAGGTGCAAGGGCAATGCTTCTTGTCCTCCTTCCCCCTGAGGTCCCCTTACTATGGGACAATAAGGAGAGCCCACCCACCTCCTTTATGTGACTCTACAACAGTGCGATCGCATGGCCTTTGCTCTGTATTTTGGAAATCTGGTAAATGTGTAAATTCTCTCTCCTGTTAGGTCACTAAACAATGGAAAGCTAACTCACATTATCACCCCTTAAACTCCTCTGGGTATGAAAATCAGCTTACATCACAGAGTGTATGAGAAGGACAGACAATGGCCCTTTGTGTTCTAGGTTCAAGAGGGAAGCCTGCCTACGTCTTTAACTTGAGCAAGCCCTCAGAATCTGAAATGAGAGCTGGACACACACCCACATAGGGAAATGTTTAGGAAGAATAACATAGAAAGGTTAAGGGCAATGATCCCTGATGGGCTAACTTCCTTGGATGATCTTTATTTTCTTCTTTAGCCACTTTTTCTAATCTAAATGTATGAATTACCTATTTACTGGAAAAAAAAAAGTTACTCGGTTCAAAAATCTGTTAAAAGTAGTAATCTCTTGCCTACTATGGGTATTCATTTTTATGTTGCCACACTCAATTTAGATCCTAGATTTGGTCTTGAGTCTAAGTTATCTCAGAGACTTGACTTCACAGATGTGCTAGACATCTCTGGGACCTTGGCTCCTAAATGGAACGGTATATTATTGGCTGTAGTTAAGCAAAAGAACCACTTACCTGAGACACTGGCGAAGGCCTCACATTTAGCAGTACAGTGTTGGACTAGATAGCCTATGGCCTCTTTCAAATTATTTAAATAATATATAAAGACAGCATTTGTATTTGTAACAAGACAATAAATTGTGACTGTGTGACTATGTGTTGGTTCTCTTTGGAACAATAAACTTATACCTTGCTAGGCAGCAAACAGCTGTTTTGAGCAGCCTTTTTGATGTAAAAGTAACATAAAGCATCAGTAAGCTTATCACAAAATGATGTCCCAAGTTTGTCATCAAATTTAGAGGGAATTTGAACAATCTGCTGTCTCTCTAATTTGTTTCATAAAATAAGGTCTCTGAGTTCCATGCAGCAAATATCTTTTGATTTCCTATTTTTTGTAAAAAAAAAAAAAAAAAAGGAGTTTGTTCTCTTTCTATGCCAATTAATGACAATATTCTGAATTTAAATCAGAAAAGAAAATGTTAAAGATGAAAAGACATATAACAAAACAATGGCAGGCAAATTGGAAAATTGTACTGAAAGGCACTTAATACAGGGTCAAGAAATAACAAGGAAATTTGGAGGCTTAAGTGGTTTTTAAGCCTCCACAACAATAGATTACTCACCCAAACACCCAGCACTGGGTCCCTACGCGTTTGCACTGTGTGTCGGTGAGGTAAGCATAGTACTGCCTGAAAGAACAAAGGTGGAATTCACTGAAAACTTCTGGAAGACCAACAGGTCAGTACAGAATCAAATCACTTTGACAGGGCAAATATAAAAGATGTTCCGCCTTGTTCTACATACTCCAGCTAACTGGTCTACTTCTAGTCAAGGGAATAGAAAGCCAGTGGCTGCTGGAACATTCTTGGAAAAGGTGAAGAGTTCAGGCTGGGTTGGAGTGGGGAGAGCATGGCTTCAAGAGCTGATTGTTCACAAAGGCAGTTTTGATTCAGGGACAGAACAGGTCTCTATGCAGGGACGTGATTCCAGAGGGTCACCTACATTGTCATGAACTGTCTCCTCTGGCACTCTCCAGGACAAAGGTTGCTGATTGTAACCAGGCAGGGCAGACACATACTTTTGGCTCTCAGAAAGTGGAATGGGACCTCGGATATAGTTCACTGTTCACTCAACACCAATGACTTTGAATGTTACTGACAAGCTCAGAGAAATGAGGCAACAATACGGAGTTGCTTAGAGCAGCACTGTCCGACAGAATATAAGCCATAAACACAATTTAAAATCTTCCAGCAGCCACGTTAAGGAAGTAAAAAGAAACAGATAATAGATGTTTTAGTAACATGTTATTTAACCCAGTGTATTGAAAACAATTATAATGAAGTGTTATACAGGGTTTTTGCACTAAGTCTACAAAGTCTGGTGTGTATTTTATATGTACAGCACATTTCAATGCAGACTAGCCACATTTCCAGTGCTCAGCCACCACACGTGGTTAAGTGGCTGTTAGGACAGTGCACGCTTAGACTTTGATGACCACTCCCCAAACCCAATCCGTCCCTTCAGAAGGAAGATCTGAAGCAGGAGCTATTCATCTTTTGGGGGTCGCAGACTTTCTTGTGGATTTAATGAAACCTATGATAAAGGTGCATGAACACAAAAAATTTTGCATTAAGTTTCAGGGGACTCATGGATGCCTGAAGGTCATCCATAAACTACCATCTCCTTACCTCGAAGGCCTGAGTGAAGAATTCTAGTCATGAAGAACTCAGGTCTACCTCTCACTTCTCATTTTCATGATCTAATATGCTTTTACCACTTCAGCTTCTCTCTCCTCCAACTAAAGCCACCCCTTTACATTGCACTTGATATTATGAGAATAAAAGAAGGTTCAGTCAAACTTCTTTGCAAAGCAGGAGAGTTGAGTCAAAAAGGAAGAAAATGGAGATATGGTCTGTATGATTTATCCCAAAGCCTGTAAGCTTTCTCTTCTTTTAGGGCCTGCCATTTGCTACCCGGGGTGGCTGTGTTAGAACCCGTTAGAACACTTCCATCTTCCCAAGCAGCTTGCCAAAGCATCTTCTTAAACAGAAGATGCCTCAAGTTGGTATAAAAGCACAGAAAAGGGGCTGACTTTTAAACAAAAAAGAAACCATAGGGTTGGGCAGAAATTTTAAGGGGCTCTTAAAAATTCAAAACACTGGACATGCAGCCTCCGGTTTTAACTTCGAAATGTTTAACAATATATTGAAATTTCATGATAAATCAGATGTGCTTTCTGATTCTGTTTTATAAGCGGTTTCTTTTCCCACTTACTGACTTCGTTGATCACTCCTAATTTAATGAAAAAGCTGCTGCTAATCTTTCTTGAAAATAACTAATAAATAATTGTAATAAATAACTCTAATAATAACTTGAAAATAATTCGATAAATTAAATTAAGTTTTAAATGAGAGAGGGAGGTTCCAATCCACTGAGGGGAAAATAGCATTTACAAGAAAACTACTTCAACAGACCATTGGTCTGTAACGTGTCAAAACACTGCCTGCCTACCAACTACTGGGTTTCCTGTTTGGTCCTTAATGAAAACAAGAGATGGAATTTTGGGCTTTAACTCCACAGGACTCAGTTGTATCTTATTCGGTTTGTTCAATCCAGGATCTGGGGGGCAGGAGGAGGGAGGTGGGGGGCATTATGGGGGAGGGAGATATATATAGATATAGATGTTTATCTATATCTGTTTTCTTTCTGTAGTAATTAATGTGGATAGAAGAGGTTTGACCAAGAAGAATACCCACTCTTCTTGGCAAGTGAGGCCCTCTGCTTGTGTGGTTTGCATGCACACTGAAAATGATGAATTAAGTTATCCTATAGCTATAGCTTCTGAGAAACTAACCCCTGTAAGCTGCTTAGTTTCTATTTGTATCAACTTTGCAGATAACTTCGGTGTTGTTACTGAATCAGTGCTGGTGCTCCACATGAACTGTAAAACCCCAACGCCATTAGTTCTGGAGAGGAGGAATGAAACAAAGGACCATTTCTCTCTGATGTGCGCTGGGATCAGTCGGCATGAGGGACAGTCTCCAAATCATGCCTCACCTCTGGGGCCCTACCCAGGTCAGGGGCATAACAGCATGAATGTTCAAGCTTATCTCAGTTGTCCTGGAGGATGACGTGGAGGGCGCTGAGAAAAGGAAAGGAACAGGCTCTAAAAGAGCTAATGAAGCATCATTCTAAAAATACCATCCTTTATGACTTCAGATCCACTGTTGAAACTTTTGTATTTTTCAATCATCTCATTAAAAAAAAAGTCAGCATCACTGCTACTCATTTTTTTAAAAAGATGTTAAAGGGGAAAAAAAAGAACAGCAGTGAAAGATTATAAAAAAGCTTTGAAGGTAATGGTGTATGTGATGTTCTCACTTCATGTTATTAGATCTGAGAGCAAAACATTTTCTTCATATTCAGATGTATACTTCTTTAATGTTTTCATGGGAATCTGCTAGCCTATGTGACTTTCCTTAGGCTGGACAGGAGAATGCATTGCAGGGTAATATGCTCAAATGACAGTCAGACTTGTATAGAATTACCTCACTGTGGGAGCCGTGATGCCACCAATAAAGAGAATTCTACACCAACTTAATGGATGACTGGCTTGGAACACAAAGATATGTTTCAAGAAGAAGGTATTCAACTCAGTTAGCTGAAAAAGAAGGATGCATTAGTCAACTTGATACTGCATGCTAAGTCATAACAACATATTCCTCATTATGAACATTCTAAAAAACAACTAGTATGTTCTGAGCATTTTCAGAAAATATATGGGGTCCTCCCAAGTGGCTCATGGAATAGCTGCTCTTTAAGTAACAGCCAGTACAATATGGGCACCAACCAGCTGGGGGCTCAGGGGGAGGTGCTAGTATAGAGAAGGGGGACGTGGTGGCATCAGCTATTTGTCAGGTTTCCTGGTGCATGGCTATCATTGGGTCACGTGTGTGATCTGCTGCCATAGTGGGGAGAGGGACGTTCTGAGAAGAGCAGAAATCATGAAAACAAATATACACCACGGAATACCTCTGCAGCCTTCCAGAAATCAGGCCCGACCTAAAAGAAGTCTGACCATAGGAAAGTGAGCTCTTTGATAACCAAAAGAAGCATGAGATATGTCAATGAGAAATGACTGGGAACCCATCTAGCACATGCCTTGACCAAAGGCAGCTCTTAAAGGTGGGAGTGAAGGGTGGGTTCAAGTTTCACCGATGGGTGGTACTTTTTCCTGAGGTTATTAGCATCCCGGTGCAGCTCATCACATGAAAAACCTGTGGCAGCACGGAAGTGACCGGCCGGGATGAGGTCTGTGCCGTCTCCTGCATTTCCCCTCCAGATTAAACCAGGAGCAGAGATTAGGAAAGGAGAACATATAGAGCAGCAGGTTCGTTTCAGTGACGTGAGACATATGTCTTTCCCCACAGCACTGATTTCAATGATATAAAATTTAAAAATGGTCCACTAATTAACACCACACGTGGAAAGCTGGTCCCGGCTCAGTGAGTGTGAGAATGGGCTCCGTGAAATGCTATCATTCTAGGACCATATCCGATCTCTCCTGTACTAATCCAACCTCCTCCTCAGATCTCACATTAAAGAAACACCTACACCGGGGCGCCTGGGTGGCTTAGTCGGTTAAGCGTCCGACTTTCGCTTGGGTCATGATCTCGCGGTTCGTGGGTTCGAGCCCCGCGTCAGGCTCTGTGCTGACTGCCAGCTCAGAGCCTGGAGCCTGTTTCAGAGTCTGTCACTCCCTCTCTCTCTGACCCTCCCCTGCTCACGCTGTCTCTCTCTCTCCTAGAAATAAATAAAACATTAAAAAAAAAAATTAAAAAAAAAAAAAAAAGAAACACCTACACCTTCCCAGATATTGCTCCGATAAGGAAAAACTGAACCCCCACCCATTTAAACTCCCATTCTCATACAGACTTCCCCAAACCATGGTGACTACTTATTCACACCCAATTCTATATCTGTAAATTCCACTTGCTGAGATGAGCATTATTATTCTCCACGTGTGGACACGGAAGACTGTCTTAAAGGTGACACACGCTTATTTTGTTACGTTGGGAGCATTTTGTGCATGTGTTCAAAATATAATTTCTCATGATTCCAAAACACTCTTCAAGCAAAAGCTGCTCTCCCAAAGTTGTAAAATAACTAACCTGGGGACAGGAGGGTCAACACAAAAGCTATCTCTAGAAAACAGAGATGTTGAGTAATCCTTTTCCAAGACCCCTGGCTGTCTGAATCACACGAATCACATAGTGGGCTGCTTGGAAGGAGACCTTCTCTCCACTGAGGGCACCTTTCTGGAGGACCCAGGTCCCCAGAGGGTTCCATTGACCCACACGGAGTAGGGGCTTCTTTACTTAGCTCTCTACAAGTTACCTGAAGTGGTAACAGCTGCAGCCCAATTTTTAAAAATCAAACATTAAACTTAGAATGTAAGAAAAAGCCTTTGCATCTGTTCCTTTGGTTCTGAAAATGACCCCTCTGAAAAGCTATCCGACGCCTGACTCCTTGGGTGACAGATGCTGTGACCAAAAGCTTCATTTGGGGAATTTTATACGTGGTTTCTAATTTCCGACTCAAAGAAAGATATTTAGAAACGTCTTTATGATGAAGCAAGGCCTTGGGGGTAATAACACTGCTCTGTTTAATTATTCTGTATGTCAGCTGCACAATTTTCTCTTCCAAACCACCCAGCTGGTAAGCAGTGTCAACTAGCGTCGGCTCTAAATTCCAGGGTGGGTTTTATTTGCTTTTGCTTTTGTTTTGTTTTGTCTCCAGCACCACCCCCTCTCGCCCCCGCCTCGCCCTGCTAGTTCTGGGCCTCTGGAAAAATACCTGCCAGATAATCATGAAAAGGTATATCCCAGCCACTCTCTGAAATGAAGATTTGGGGTCAAACCATCGAACGTAGGTCCAGCTAGCAGGAGTGAACTGGAGCACAGCTCTTTTGATTTTCCCGGTGGTGGTGTGGATGTCTCTGTAAGGAGAGAATGGCTGCAGTGAAAATCCAAAGAGATAAGGAAGGGGAAGAAGAAAAACAAAAAGACAATTAAAAAAAAAAAAAAAAAAAACAACCCTGCACTGACAATTTTACAACAAATGCTCAGGACAAGAAGATTCCTTTCTGGGTAAACCATCTCCCCAACAATGATGTCTCTATTTACATGAAGTGTGGACAGCTGTACCCTCGATGGGAAACTTCAGTGATGACAGGCACGGGGCAGGGGTCAGGTCACTGCAGAGCCAAGAGAGGTCTTTACTTGTGAACGGGTGACAAAAGAAGCTGAGGCATGACGACAGCCCCCTGGAGCCAGGCCAGCGAGAATGAGACGCCCACAGGACACGATCCCACCCACTCTGTCTCTCCCAAGGCAGGGCATTTACAAATATATATTTTTTAATGTTTATTTATTTTTTGAGAGAGAGAGAGAGAGAGAGAGAGAACACAAACAAGAGAAGAGCAGAGAGAGAGGGAGACACAGAACCTGAAGCAGGCTCCAGGCTCTGAGCTGTCAGCACAGAGCCCAACAAAGGGCCCGAACCTATGAACCGTGAGATCATGACCTGGACTGAAGTCAGCCACTTTGTCGACTGAGCCACCCAGTGCCCCTCGCAAGGCAGGGCACTTTAGTAAAACAGAGAATATGCTCCACATTCTGAGGTCACCCACACCATGTCTTTATCCTATTTCTTCCTCAGATAAATGAACGGTTTGGGCTGACAAACAGCAATTTTCAAGCCTCCTTAATTTTAATCCTACAAATCACTCAGTTAAAAACACCCCACTGCCATGACAGAAATGAAGATTCCTACGTATTACATGTGAGAACAGTTAGGCTCAGAGCAAATGGCAGAGGAAAGTTCCCACTGTGAGCACCATAGCTAGCTATACGTTCTAGCCTCTCTTGCTAATCTAGGAGAGCCGAGATCCAAGGTAAATAGCATTCAGTAACTGGTAAAGATTCTTTATTTCAGCAAAGATTTTTATCAAGTACCTTTACCTCTTGGACACTGTGCTAAGTGCTGAAGGCACAAGAGTGAACAAGTCAGGTCTTTTATTTGAGGTGTGGGTTTGGTCCTTCATTCATTCACTCACCTACCCATCAAGAGGCACGTATTGAGAAAATCTTGCAGCAATAAGGTATGAGGCACAAGAGCAACAAAAAATAGGGATTCTCCAAAAATAAACAAGAACTATGAAGGACTTGTATGTAAAAAAAATAATAATAATAGCAAACTATATGGAAAGAGGTAGAGGGATATGGGAATAAATAGAGGGACAGAGCGTGATCAAGTATTGGAACACTTATTACAGGTCTTCCTTAACTTATGAGGGTTTCACCCCGATAAACCCATCATAAATTGGCAATATCGTAAAATGAAATGCACTTAATACACTTCACCTACCAAACATCATAACTTAGTTCAGCCCATCTTACACTTGTTCCCGACGCTTTCCTTTGTCCACAGTTGGGCAAAGTCCTCCTACGCACAGCCTATTTTATAACAGAGTGTTGACTACCTCATGTAATTTGTGGAATACAGTACTGAAACTGAAAAATAATGTGTGACTGGGTGCAGAATGACGGTGAGTGTATTGTTTGCTGACTGTCACGATCGTCTGGTTGACCAGGAGCTGCGCTACCCCTGCCCAGCATCGCAGGAAAGGATCCTACGCTCTTCACTAGCCCAAGAAAAGATCCAAATGCAAAATCCAAAGGATGATTTCTGCAGAATCAGAATGCGTGATCACTCTCACACCACTGTAAAGTCAAGAAATCATTTAAGTCAAACCATTATAAGTCAGGATGGTCTGTACAGTAAAGAGGTTAATTCAACTTTATATTCATTTGTATATTTTATGTCACTTAAAAGAAAAAACACCAATGGGATTTCTGCTTATTAGCTGGGCTTGTGTTTTGGTAACTTGACCAAATGATTCTCAAGTTGAATCTAAAGCATAAATGTATGAAAATGGAGAAGCCTTATGGCAGTGTGTAAAGAGCCAGAAGACCTGAGATAAATTCAGACTCGGCCACTTGCTAGCTGTGTGTCCCTAGGCAAAGTACTGAGCCTAGTTCTTACTGTCACCATCCCTAGAATGAAGAAAAAGAGTGTCACCCTCTAGGACTGATGGAAGGCACAAATGAGATACTGTTTACAAAGCTGACTTAGAGCAACATCTAGCACAGCTCCGGTTTTTATTCCATTATATACTGTCTTAAATATATTAAAGAGTGTGCTTTTAAGTCAGCACCCACAAGAAGGGTGATTTAAAGAATAGGGAACAGGGCTTAATCAAGTGCAAAAAACATTATGAAATCTTTCCCTCATACTATATACCAAATTAAATTGGAGACAGATTAAATAAGTTACTTATAATAAAATACTCAACCACTGAAGAACTGTAAGAAAATACAGGTTAACATTTACCTAAACAAAAAGATTAAAAGCTTTTAAATTTTAATGGAGTACCTACCATAAAGAAAAGTGTAAGTGGATGACAAAATGGAAAATAAAGTCACATTTATGTCAAAGTGTTAATGTCCTTAGCCTATAAAAAGCACGAATAAGAAGAGAGAAATTATAATAGAAATAGACTAGAAATTTGGTATCACATAATTATATGTGATAACATTGAAAAAGGCTTTAAAGTAAAACAAGTTAAAAAATTTTAAAAAGGCTTCAAAGTAAGAAAGAGTGAAATGGACATATACATACATTAATGAATGTGGGTGAGAATATAAATTGGTGTATTACACTTTTAAGAATTTATTTATAGGGGCACCTTGGGGGCTCAGTGAGTCAAGCGTCCAACTCTTAATTTCAGCTCAGGTCATGATCTGACAGTGTGAGATTTTGCCCTGTGTCGGGCTCTGTGCTGAGACATTCTCTTTGTGACCTATACTCATTTTCCCTTATTTATTTAAAAAAATTTTTTTTAATTTTTGTTTATTTTTGAGAGAGAGAGAGAGAGAGAGAGAGAGAGAGCACACGAGCATGAGACGAGGAAGGCAGAGAGAGAGGGAGACACAGAATCCGAAGCAGACTCCAGGCTCTGAGCTGTCAGCATGGAGCCCGATGCAGGGCTCGAACTCACCAACTGTGAGATCATGACCTAAGCTGAAGTTGGACGCTTAACCAATTGAGCCACCCAGGTGGCCCTCATTTAACAACAACAAAATTATTTGTAGAAAAAAAAAAGTCTATAAAGATACATGTTCAAGAATGTTCACTCTAGCTTCCTTCATAAAACTGAAAACTTTGGGGGCACCTGGGTGGTTCAGTCGGTTAAGCACTAACTTCGGCTCAGGTCATGATCTCACCACTCGTGGGTTTGAGCCCTGCATCAGGCTCTGTGCTGACAGCTCAGAACCTGAGCCTGCTTTGTATTCTGTGTCTTCCATTCTCTCTGCCCCTCCCACACTCACACCCTCTCTCTCAAAAATGAATAAATGTTAAAAAATAAAAATAAAAAAATAAAAAAACTGAAAACTCTTTGAAACACCTAAATGACCACAGAAGGGAACTGGTTAAACACCTCATGAATCAACCATATGTTTGATATAAAGAAGCCCTTTGAAATCATGTTTTAGGATACTTAATGATATGGGAAAATGCTCACATTTTGTTTGATAAATAAATGAAGATGTAAACTCAATAAAGACAACTACTTTCGTTATCCCACTGCTGTTCTGTTCCTGCTTCTCAATGGCATAGTCCCTGCCATAGTCTCAATGGCATAGTTGGCAAGTCCCCAACTTGGGGAGAGAGTTCAGGGAGGCAGGATAAGGAATGACGGAGGAGAGTGCTGTCCCCCCTGGAGGCACAGAGGAGGGACATGCGACTTGAATCAGAGAGTCAGAGACAACTACCTGAAGAGGCATCAAGGGAGTCGAGGCAGGAAAGGAGACGACCTGTCAGCCTGGCACATGGGGACATGGGTCAAACCCAGGTACAGAGGACCATGTGCTCATAACCGAGGGAGCCCCATAGTGCGTGGAGGAAACGACCAGACCTGCCCAGCCCACGACATGCACTTTGTCCTGAAGACCAGGAGAAGCCATCACAGGAGAATGACACAATGAATCTGACATTCTTAAAAAGATCACTCAAGGGGCGCCTGGGTGGCTTAGTCGGTTAAGCGTCCGACTTTCGCTTAGGTCATGATCTCGCGGTTCGTGGGTTCAAGCCCCGCATCAGGCTCTGTGCTGACTGCCAACTCAGAACCTGGAGACTGTTTCAGTCTGTGACTCCCTCTCTCTCTGACCCTCCCCTGCTCACGCTGTCTCTCTCTCTCTCTCTCTCATAGAAATAAATAAAAACATTAAAAAATTAAAAAAAAAAAGATCACTCAAGCAGTGGTGTGAGATGGCTTGCAGGGGGTAACTGAAAAACAGGGGACTAATTAATCGGCAGTGTGAATGCAGGCTGAGGCATGAGAATGAAAATAAAATGGATGTGAGAAAAATCATAAATGATTTAGCATTATCTGAGTGAATGCCTGCAGTGAGGTCTGTAATAATTCGTGAGTTTCAATTACTAACGTGTAATTTACTTCTTATCATCAAAGACCATACTGAAGTCACTTGCTACTAAAAGCGGCTCAGTGCGCATTGTGTGAGGCTGTGACTAATGTCCAGAGGGGAGGCGACTCACTTGAAGCTGGCCCAGTGGTAGGTCCTCATCTCTAAAAACCGGCAAACCACCATACCCAACCAGATGCCGCCGCCGTTGCAGAGCAGGATGTCCAGGATGACTTGGTCCCACCAGCACTCGGCGAAATTGGGCAACAGATGCATGAAGAAAAGCTGAGGAACACGAGAGACCATGGTTTTAGAAACAAAAGTGCAGGAAGATATGTTTCCTTTTACTAATATGTTCTTTCAGGAGAAGTCATGGATGGTACAGGTTTCCCTAATGCATGACAAAAATACATCAAAACAAGGTCTGTCATCAGGTTTGTTTTCTATGCTGTGGGTGAGTTTACAAATTTTATGAATCCAAACAGTCCTTTGCTGGACACAGTGCTTTAAAGACATGGTAATTCCTCCTAAAAAAGACTACTGACGAATTACCGTGGCTAACAACAGCAAGACAAGGATCCAGGAGGGGAAAAGGAGAAGTCTTCATTCTTGCCAACAGAGCGTTGGCAGAATCCTCAAAATTAGCAGCTTGAGAGCTGAAGCTGTGCACTATCCCACAGATATTTAGGTTAAACAGCGAGGAGGCCGTGAAAGGAGAAAGGTCAGGTTTTGATGACATGAGGTAGGAAATGGAGAGCTTAACAGGAAACTCTATGGCAACTGATTCGCAGTCATCATCTTATTAAGTGCTGATGATGTGCAAGGGGTGAGGCAAAATAAAGTCAAGTTCATGATCCCAAGGGCAAGAACAAGTCAGATGTTTATCCTAAACCACTGAATAAGGTAGGCCGTGGCAAATGCTACCGTGGCGACATAAATGGAGTACGGTGGGGACAAATGAGAGATTCATTCTGACAGGTGGTTACTGGAGCAAGTCCCATTGCGACAGGGGTCGCTGGGGGCAGGCATGACTGGTTTCAAGACACGAAGATGAAGACTGAGGACATTCCACAAACAGCAGGATCAAGGGTGGAATAAAAACCTCTCGTGGAAATCCTTTTGTCCAAAACAAACAGCCTATCAGCCCTGTCCAGAGTAGCACACGCCGCTGTGTGAAGGCCAATTTCTAGAAGGTCTGAAATAACAAAGGCGGTACACCTGGGAATCCTCTGGAAAGAGGCAACCCCGTAATTACAAACCTCTGAAGTAACACAATAAATACTGCAAAATAAAACTTGTTCACGAAAGCATCCTGTAGACTGTAAAACAATGCAAATATATGGCGTTTGCCTTCTTAACAGGCCTGTTGCTGAAAAGACGCAGCACAGCGACCGCATGGGAAGGCCCGAGGCCACGACCCTCCCTCAGTGAGCCAGGTGCAGCCCCTGAGGTGTATTCCCCAGTCCCCAGCTATCAGATGAGGCATTAACTGTCGTGTGTGGACAGGGAAGAGAGAAACTTCAACAGAAGTCGATGACACATATCTGCTAAAACTAGACTCTGCACGAGGGTGGAGGGTGGAGGCCATGCTTCAGCCTGAAGAGCCTTCCTGGAGAGTACCAGGTTCTGGGGGTGGGATGGGCCATCCAGAGGAATGCCAGGAACTCACAGAGGGGAACTGGGCAGGAGGAGCCGGAGAGGGCTGGACTCCTTCCTTCACTCCTCAGGACTTTGGGAAATGTCTCCCACTTGAGGGGCAGAGTATCTGGGACTATGCAGATATAGGCCCTGCCCTCCTGAGGCTTACCACTTAGCAGAAAAGAGACACCGTAAGTACATACAATATGACGGGCGTTTCAAAGGAGAAGGTCCAGGTACTCTCTCTGCAGGCGTACAAACCTGGAGCCCAGAGGGAGCGGGGAAACGAGGGAAGAGCCTGTCGGTAGGCTCTGGGATAGGAAAACACACGGCCTCTTTGACAAGATGAAAGCAAAGGTGGCCGGAGCAGATGGCAGGGTGGAGAGGGTCTTGAGCAGAAGAGAGAGGTGGGCTGGGGCCAATTAGCTCCAGAGGCTGGTCCAAGAGTTTGGATTTTGTCTTCAAAGCAATGGACAAACACTACGGTTTTAAGTTGGAGAAGGACGCAACTGGATCGACGTGTGAAAAAGATCACTTTGGCAACTAACAGTGAAGGGAGGAAACGAGTAGTTCAGACAAGAGTAGGTGCGAGCGGAGCAGGGGTGTGAAAGACACAGACGGAGCAGAGGTGCTCACAAGAGTCTAGAGGATACAGAGGAGCAGGGAAGGAAGGCCCAGACGCCATCGGCAGTGTGAGGGGAGCGAAGCAGACAGGCTGAGAAAGGCCCAGGGCCTCGCACAGGCCAGGAAAACACCTGGAACTCGGGGGAACGTGGGCCGTGCACCTGGAGGCCAGCACATGTGGAATCCAATCCTGGCTCACCCCCCTCAGGAGACAAGGCTCTAGGATCTCGTTCCTTCGTCTGTCCACTGGGAATATATACACCCTTTTATGTGTATGGTGAGGATTTAGGAGACAATACATGTACGGTGTTGGGTACTGTGTGGGTTGAATCATGTCCCCTCAAAATCCTCCTGTCGAGCCCCTAACCTCCAGGTCCTCGTGACATGAACTTATTTCGAACGAGAGTTGTTACAGATGTAATTAGTAAAGATGAGGCCATCCCGGAATAGGGTGGGCCTCTAATCCAGTGTGACTGGTGCCCTTATAAAAAGAACGCCACATGAATGCACATGGAGAGAACCCCGCTCGAAGACGAAGGCAGATTGGGGTGATGCATCTACAAGCCAAGAAACACCAAAGATGGCCAGCAACCCAAAGAAGCTAAGAGAGGCCTGCACCAGATTCCCCCTCGCAGCCCTCAAAGGGCACCAATCAACACCTTGAACTCAGCCTTCTGGCCTCTTGGGCTGCAAGAGACACATTAACCGAAGCTAGATCTGGCTGGCATGTTTCCCTTAGTTGGGGTCAAGACAACAGGTGGCATCAAGAAATATACTGTACACGTGGCCAAATTTTGTTCCCTGGGAGTGGTGAAGGATGATTACCATAACTGAACAATAAATAAGTTTCCCCCAAATCATTTTCCTAATAATTTTTTAAAGACTGTATCTCTTTCATTCATGAAATAAGACAACCTTGACTCCTGAGATATTAGAGCTATATCCATTTTTCACCTCCAAAATATCCTGGGTGCCCTCATAACTCATAAACACAATTCTATTAATTTCAAACTAGAAACTAGCTAGTGGGTAACCCACCTAGTTACCCCTAAGCAGATCTCCTCATTACCATGTATCTGTCTCAGTCTCACTGGGGATTTTAATATCATTCTTTACTGTTTCATTTCATTTGTTTCTCTTTAACACTTGTGAAACAAGAGACACATTTTAAGTTAATAAGGAATCATACACACCCCAACCCCCACAAAGGCATAAAATATTTCTAGGGGACGGTTTAAACATAGTGTTTCCCGCAGGGGCTGGAAAATGGATTGACTGACTCTTAATGGACAGACAACCTTTCTCCTACAGGTAAACTATCTGACCACTGCCCAAGGCCCCTTCTTACCTCGGTTAGCTCCCAGGTAATACTGATTGTCCAGCAGAGACCATAACTACGGATCAACAAGGCCTTCATGGCCCAGCCCCAGAAATGTCCAAATGCAAATATATCGAAATGGCTGATAATCCTCTCCCAGGTGATAACATGGCAGTTCACGGCATACTCCTATTCCAAGTAAAAAGGGAAATACTTAATGGATACTCTCAAAATCAACTTCCTTCTAGGATGCTGACAACAAATGAAAAGAACTGATCCAATCTTGATATGACAAGTGACACCTGTCCTGTCCCCCACCCCCGAAAGTTTTAATAACTGAAGATCCTTTAGGAAAAACGGACAAATATTAAAGTTGATGAATCAGAACTCCTTTGCTCTGAATTGCAAAAGTTTGATTAAAATGGGAAGCAGGGCGCCTGGATGGCTCGGTTGGTTGAACGTCCTACTTGGGCTCAGGTCATGATCTACTGGTTTGTGAGTTCAGCCCCACGTTCAACCCCTCTGGGCTGACAGCTCGGATCCTGGAGCCTGCTTCCAATTCTGTGTCTCCCTCTCTTTCTGCCCCTCCCCACTTTGTCTCTCTCTCTCTCAAAAATAAGTAAACATTAAAAAAATGTTTTAATGAAAAGCAAAAGAATTTTTCACAAGTTTAACATGTCTTAAAGAAGTGGAATCACACAGTTCAGGTCACCTGACTTCAGGGCAACTATGTTAAAGCCAGTAATAAAAACATAAATAGAATCTCAATTAATAAAGAATAAGTAGAATCCCGATAGGTTTGGAAATTTAAAAACACATCTAAATATCATGGCATAAAGAAGGAATCACAACAGAAATGTGAACTGCTCAGTATTAATGGTAATGAAAACACTATGTGTCAGAACGATGGGATGAAACTGAGTAGAATTTACAGAAAGATCCAAAGCCTTAACTATTTATGTTAGGAGAGAGGAAAAGCTGAGGCACCCGATTTCGGAAATTAGAAGGAAACAGAATCAACCTCCCATCCCAAAGTTATATTGATCAGATGCTACATAATTTAAGTATTGAAAAATTACAAAGCTTTCGAGACATTGGTTTTGTTTCTACTATCGTTTTGTTTTTATTAGGACATATTTTATAAGTTTGCTTTTTTAAAGTTCACTTATTTACTTTTGAGAGCGAGAGAGAGACAGAGCACAAGCGGGGGAGGGGCAAAGAGAGAGGGAGACAGAATTGGAAGCAGGCTCCAAGCTCTGAGTTATCAGCACAGAGCCCGACGCGGGGCTCGAACTCACTAACGATGAGATCACGACCTGAGCTGAAACTGGACACTTAACCAACGGAGCCACCCATGTGCCGCTAATTGGACACATTTTAAAGATATTTTAAGTCAACATCCTTATGTTTCTGTATTTATTAGGAAAGTAGCTATCATATGATAACATAACATTTCTCAGAAATCTCTACGTTTGAATTTTTTCTTCCCAAAATTAATCTGATAGGATACAATTCAGAAAATAGCCACCTATTATCTATCAGCTGGTTGAAAAAATTCCTGGAGCAAAGTATTAATATTTTCAACTTCTAGAAAGGATGCTTCCTAAGGGAGCAGCAGAGCAATCTGGTACTCCTCTGTCTCTTCCAAAACCCACCAATCAGATTCATCAAGCCTTGCTCAGATCTATCCAGTGCATTTCTATTTGCAAAGCTGAAAGGGCATTTAAAAAAACTGCACCTTGGGGAACCTGGGTGGCTCAGTCTGTTACGTGTCTGACTCTTGATTTCAGCTCAGGTCATGATCTCATGGTTTCTTGAGTTTGAGCCCCAAGTCGGGCTCTCTGCTGTCAGTCCAAAGCCTACTTCGAATCCTCTCTTTGACGCTACCCCACCCTCAAATAAATAAGTAAACATTTTAAAAAAACTGCACTGCAGTAAGATGCGCATTCTCATCCAGCTTCTGGAACAACACGTGGCTGTCGCAGGAATCACAGACTGGCGGGGGGCATACTGTGGAGCTGGAGCGGGTCCCGGTTAGGTTAAGGAGAGCCGCGAGGCCCCGTCAGCCCCAGATGCCTCAGCCGCACATGGCACAGATGAGGTAAGAGAGGGCTGAGTTCTGTTTTTAGAAGGCTACTCTTCAAGTCATCCGGGGCTGAAGACGACCTTGGAGGCCTTTTTACTCTCCGTGAGAATATGTCTGTGCTTCAACAGATTGAAAGACACTTTGAAAACCATAAAAGCCAAATGTAATTTATTAGCGTTGTAACTATTTTACTTTTTTATTTTTAAGTAATCCCTACACCCAACGTGGGGCTTGAAATCACAACCCCAAGACCAAGAGTCCACACTCCACCAACTGAGCCAGCCAGCCACCTCCAGCATTATAATTATTAATGCACAGAAAGATCTCGAGGTCTTGTGGGAGGGATGCACGGCGGTTAAGCGCTGCTAGGGAGCCCGATGCGGCACGACCCTGGGAAGCAGGAGGAAGTGGCGCTAAGTGAGGACATCCCAGAGCCAGGGAGTCAAGTAGGGGAGGGTGTGTGCGCATGAGTAAATGGGAGGTAAACACAGATTGTGCCCACCTCCCAACTGCTCGCGGGGCTGATCCTGGTGGCTCCCTCTCTTCCTCTGCCTGCTTACCACTTACCCAAATACCATGTCCTATTCATTTTGCAGGTCAATTTACTTTGTGATATAACCAATTTTGCTCAAAAACCCAAGAAAATTGTCAGAAAATATCGTACCTGGAATACTTTTCCTCCCAATCTCTGTTTCCTAAGGCTCTGGTGAGTGTCAAAGCACTGTCATTATTATAAGTATATACTTAAGGCACAGTGCAAAGGAAAAGTATAGGTTCTGAAGTCAGAGAGATCTTACCAGCTTCTGCTCTGAATGAGATATTTATCCAGTTTAAGTTTCCATTTCCTCCTTGACCAAATGGGGATATTAATGCCTAGCATGCATGGGTGAGGCTTACCCAGAGTATATGGTAAGTGTCTGGCAGAACAACCCATAGTCAGTAACCACCACCACCCTCTCCATAGTCATCATTATCGTTGCTATCATCAGCAGGAGCCTGAGGTCACCCCATGCCATTCTCTTCCTTAAACTAAGAAACTCCCAAACAGACTTTTCTTCCTGAGACTTTTCAATAATTTCTGGCATTCTTAACTTATGCCTTTAGCATGTCCTTTATGAGAGTTAAAGAGAAAATCTTGATACACCAATCAAGAAGGGTCTGACCTAGCTCAACTCCAGTAGAGTGATACTACTTGGACCGTTTATTAAGTCTGTTTGTCTTGTTTCTTAAACAAGGGCCTGCCTGTGGCCCTAATGCCTGTTCTCCTTTTCTGAGCATCACGAGGTTTGTCCTTCAGTTTATCAAATGTTACGTATTATTTAAAAACCAATAATAAAAACTTGAAAAAAAGGAAAGGAATGGCATTGGAGTATAAACAGTCTCTTCACTAAGAGCCAAAATACAGAGTAGCTTTTGCCAAGAATAAAATTATTTTTGTGGGTTTAAAAAAAAGTGAATGAAATGGTCTAGATCATTACAATTGGCCCCTTCATGATGATCAGGGGGGAAGTTCATGGCATCAGGGCCAGAGTGGGGAGCAGAGTTGCTGCGGGTGACTCTGAGAAGAGCAGCCACTACCACCATCACTGAGGACCCGGTGTGTGCAAGGCACCATGCTGGGCCTCATAGATAATGCTACTTTGTTAAGTTCACAATGAAATTCCCCAAATAAGTACTATTATTTCACTCTTACAAAGAAAGGAACAGGCTAGCTAGCAAGTACATTGTCCCAAATTCTACAGCTAACAAGCGACAGGGACAGAATTCACACCCAAGGCTATCTGACAATAATGGTCACACTCTTCGTACCATCCCCCCTTGCTCCACGAGAAGACATCATTTCCTTGGACTTGTTATCACTCATGGAAACCACACACCTCACCTTCCCAGAGACCTGGCTTTTAGAACTATCTACACAGCAGATATAGAGAAGGAACAATTTAAATGTGATGTCGACTATTTCCTACACCCAACAGTCTACCAATTTCTCTAAGAGAAGGCTGACAAGTACCTACCATGACGTCTGCTTCCCTTGTGGCGTACCGAAGATTTGGATCTAGCCAGTACATCAGGGACTTAACCTGATCAAAGTTCAGGAAGAGGAGGAATACCAGGAACAGGAAATACAGCACACTGAGTCCTAAGGGAAACAAAAATATTCGTGTGTTTAGGAGAGATCCGGGGGTCAGAGGCACAACACACATTACATTCAAATCATTTACGGCCAAAGCAGACACTGACGTTGGGATGTAGTGTACTGAGCTCCCCGCTACAATCCAGTATTTCCTTTGATGAGTGAGTCTGATATACAGTCCTAATTCAGACTGAGAGGTTCGGTACTATTCTCTGAGAAAATGATGTTCGAACTGAATCTTGACTAACCAGCAGCATTCAGGCAGAGAAAAGGCAGCCAGGCAGGCCTGCAGAAGGAGAAACATTCAGGAGCCAGCTGTGGCTGGGGGCCGGCAAATAGGGGCAGAGAGCGAGGCGGCACTGAAGCGACGGGGGTTGGGGGCCGTGGGAAGGATTTCACATTTTACCTTCAGGGAAACGGGAAACACACGACAGGTTTTACATGGGGCAAGAAGACAATCTGGGTGACGTTTTACAAGGTGGACTGTGGCTGCTGTGTGCAGGGTGCGTGGAGGTGGGCAAGCTAGCTGTGGGGCAACATCAGTAGAGATAAGTGCGAAGTGCCAAGAGGTGGCCCGGGGCCACACATCCGCATCTTAGACACCATGTTGGCCCTTCTGGGTTCCTGTCACACCGTATCATAATTGGTACCCTCATAGTCCCCTCGTATCACAATAATCTACTTTTAAAATGGCAAAAGCCTTTTAAGAAGATCTGAAAACACACCACCAGTGGCTTTATCGCTTCTTTCCCCTGAACCTGTTGCAACTGAAACGTTTGTGTAGGATACCCAGACACGGTGATGCAAATGACCTTGATCACAGCACTGCATGTGAACTTGGCTCAGCGCTAATCTCCAATGAGCTGTTCCAGAGGAGACAATGTCCAGGGCTGGAATGAAGTTCCCTGGAACATCTACAGCACCAAGCCTTCCAACAGGGCCTCCCTCTCTCAATCCTCAGGGAGCTCAGGGGACTTGAGCAGAGCGTGGCTGCCCAAATTGTGCATCCCAGGGCCCCACGGGCACACTCTTTAGGCATGTTAGTATGAGAATCTCCTCAGGTTTATTACCAGCTGTTTTAAAATTTTTTTCACCTCAAATGACCCCACTATACCCTTTTACTATAATCCTTTCAAAATAATTATTTTAAGACAGAAAGAAACCATCTGTGTAGAGCAGGGCTTCTTAAACTGGAATTCATGGTTGGGCTTCAAGGTTCATGAAGCCTCAGATGTAATATGTACAAGTGTGTGTGTGTGTCTGTGTGTGTGCGCACACACGTGCCAAGAAAGCATCTGCAGTTCTCATCAGATTATCAAAGGGCTCCAAGATCCCCAAAAGATCCCAGGTCAGAATTATACTAATTACCTATAATGGATCATTTGAAGTAGGAAAAACTCAAATGTGGCCAACTAGCTGAAAATAACTTATAATTTCAAACAGCAATAGTAAGCTCATGAGATGTATGATGCAACTAGAATAATCTATTTAAAAATGTAAACGGGGGTGCCTGGGTGGCTCAGTCAGTTAAGCGTCCGACTTGGGCTCAGGTCATGATCTCACAGTTTGTGGGCTCGAGCCCCACGTCAGCCTCTGTGCTGACAGCTCAGAGCCTGGGGCCTGCTTCGGATTCTGTGTCTCCCTCTCTCTCTGCCCCTCCCCTACTTGCACTTTCTCTCTCTCAAAAATAAATCTTTAAAAAAAATTCTTTTTTAATGTAAATAAATCATGTCACTTTTCTGCAAAACCTCCTCCTGGGACTTCCCCCTGCCCTTCCTATCTGCACTCTTTACTGGCCCATGAGCCCTTCAGGGTTCCATCCATGCCTGACTCTGGCCACTTACTACAGCCCTAGGGCCTGCTCGGCTCCGGCCACAGTGCCCTGGAACACACCACACTCTTTCTGGCTGGGGACCATTTCAGTAGCCTTTCCCTTTGCCCGGCTTCCCCTGACCTCCATCCTTGCACTCTAGATCCTCTGCATGCAGGTCTTCACTAGGCACCCTCCCTTCAGACCTCCTTGCACATTTAGTGAAAACCAGCCACTCAGTCACCTTCACCCCACACGGTTTTAATTACATTCCTAACCCTTAGTGGCATCTGATAGTTTTTGGTTGTGGATTTAATAGTTTGCAACAGCTGTTCTCCCTCCCTGGGACAGGAAGGACCACTCCTGAGGGGAGTCCCCTGCTGTGTGGCCCTCCCCTCCAACCTCAGGACCAGAGCAGCCCTGCCACACAGAGGAACTGAGTAAACATACACTGTGGTCATGAATAACGTCCCACTCCGTGCAGGGACCCACCTACGATGTCTGAAGGTTCCGAGAAAAATAAGTGACCTTGAGCAAAATATCCATTTTTAGGGACCTTTTTATAACACTACATTTTCTGAACCTAAAGTAATTTATTTGATGTCTTATTTAGGCAAGACAAAGCCAGGAGCTAACATTTGAAAGACATGTTTTTAGTCCATTCAGGGGATCAGACTATGGACTAGAAATCAAGTAAAAATAAGACATCCAATATTTGTAGAGATGTTTACGCTAATCCTTATTTCAAATCAGGACTAGTGACTTCTCCCTTTCCAGGCTCTTTCTCATTTTCAGTCCTTCCTGGATGCTGACAGGACAAATGTGCTCGCAGGGCACATTTGAGCTTATACCAGACAAGAGCAATGTAAAGGTGCGTCAAGAAAAACAAGCCACGTCCCTTTACGTCAGACCCCGTGTACAGTAAGAGACAAGAGCATGGGTGGGGGCGGGGGGCAAGACGTCTGAGACAGTTCACATATGAGAATCTGAAGTTACCACCGGTGCGTTTGTTTTATGGCACAGAATTTTCATAAAAATTTATGTTAAGAAAACCAAAAAGTAAAAGGTCATAAAGTTCTACTCTACAGCAGTAAGTAAAACTGCTATAATGATACACAGAAAACGGATTTTAAGTAAGATATATTTCTAAATCTATCAATGGGTAACTCACCAAAAACCATTCGCCATAAGGCTGGATGAGGTCGAGTAAATGGGCCTGGAGATAGAAAACACTGGGTTAGAACGAACTGATTTCAAATAAAAACTAAAAGCAAAGTAGTCTCTACAGAGATTTTAAAAAAGAAAAAAGCTCTCTACTGTTAAATTTTTTTTTCTACATAAACACTTAGAGGTCGAAGTCTGGGGTTGAAATGTTTTATTCGCAATGTAGCAACTGCCACCACAACTGTAACAAGTACCAGTTTCCACAACAGAGGTTTCTGTTTTTAAAGCTTTGTCTTTAACTCAGATCATAATTTCCCATGGAAACAATGTTACAACAGTGAGCAGGTTACCAGGCCAGCCTGTAAGTGATTGGAATATACTATAGTTTCATAAGTGAAATTGAGTGTGTGTGTGTGTGTGTGTATGTGTGTGTGTGTGTGCGTGCGTGTAGTGTGTGACACAGGGTAAGGGGTAGGTTCAGAAAATTAAACAAGAGAAACAACTGCTTTGAAAACAAGTAAGGTGAGGTTTAAAACTGAAAACAAATCCTTGGAGCACTGGAACGCACTAACACAGTGGCTTTTGATCATGAACCATGGTAACAAAATACTCTGGACACGGCAACCCAGTTCAGACACACAGATGCAGCTTCAGCACTGTGAAAACAAGTTTTACAGGATGAAAGTTACTCTTACTACAAGGGATACACCAATACTTTCTCTCCTATTTTATTTCTTAAAACAAACAAACAAACAAAACGGGGCAGGAGGGGGGGAGAAAGAAGGTTGGGCCTTGATCCACTAAACTGATTTACTATCCACTGAAAGGTTGCACAGTTCATAAATCCTGAACACTGCTCTCATGGGCACCTGACCAACTTGGGGCTGCCCACCCCTTCGCAAGGGCCTTCCTGCAGATTCTGGGAGCATTTCCAACATTATGAATCCAACATTTCCCAGGGAGATGCCAGAGCTTGCTGCCCCGCCCTCTTCATAACCGGGGCTTAGTTTTTCATTGGCCCCCTGTGCCAGATTTGATCTCTGGAGCTGGTGGTACAGATGTTAAGTATGCTGAGCTCTTTTCAACCCCTTCTTCTCCCTCTGCCATGAACTGGCATGGACAGCAGTGGGGGAGGGGGCACCGTGATGGTGGCAGTTCACTGCAGAGTAACAGTGGGACAGATTATAGTAAATGCTCACTGGGGTTTTGTAATGAGACCAACTCTGGGTGACATGCCAGTTTCTAGAAGCTTAGCCTGGGACCTGGCTTCCTAGCCCTCCCAGAGGTCATCCAGCCAACATCCTACAAGCCTTTTTAATCGGCAGCCAGCTTCTGCTGCTGGCAATCTGGAATCCTGACTGAAGGAAACAGGACATGGTAATTTTTATTCTGCAACTCCTCCTAAATTAGCCGCCTTATCTTAAAAAGATGATTTTGAAACATATTGCAACTGCTTTCTTTTGATGGATCAAGTTCATGTTAGGAAAATCAGTGAATTACAAGGATCAACATCACCCAAATCTGGTCAGTTCCTGAGTTTACACGGTGGGCAATTCAGAAGGCGAGTTAGGTTTGTGCGGGACTCTGCTTTATCCATGAATGTGATGTCTGGGTTTTTGAGGGCTCCCAGTGAGGGATTTAAATAAGGTTTCTCCAAATATGTTCCATTTCTCAGTTCTGGTAGCAAAAGCTCAGACCAACGAATGCCTACATTCTTTTTAATCCGCCACATTTTTTCTCAGAAAGGCACAGCGAGGCACAGAAACAAGGATTCCTTTCCAGGTAACTTAACATGGCTACCTGCCTTCAAGTCACTGGAAAACTGATGGCTAAAATGGTTATCTTTTAAGTCATTTTTTCTTCTAAATTCTCTTCTTCACTGCTGTTAGGTGATAGCTCAACTTGTCACCACGAATGACTTTTGTATTATGGTGGCTGGCTGGTTTGCAAGTATTACTTCATCCAAACCACTGAATTAACCTATTAGACAGAACACAGGACCCCAGCTTTCTCTCCCTGTAAATTTCCTCTTATAAGGTGAAAGTCGAAAATGGTATGATTATTTGGCTTGCCAACAGAATTCCATGCCCAATCAACACTCAAAATCATAGAAGAAGGGTTATTCTCAAGAGCATTCATAGTTCTAATAGTACTTTGCTGAGCACTTAATGGGGAGCAGTCTGGAGGGTGAAACAACCCCCTGCCCCCCATTGTCTCTCAGTTGTCCTCACAGCTGGGTGATGAGTTTTCTGTCACTTCCACTTTACAGATGAGGACACTGAGGCATCGGCACTTTCCCAGGGTCACAAGGCTCACAGGACTCCACTTTCGGTCTGAGGGCATTTCTGTGCTTTCTGATCAACTCTGTCAGGCCTGGGCCAGCTGAGGAGGACAGAGTGGGGGCGGTGAGTGGGGAGGCGTTGAAGGTTTGAAGCAGGACTGTCCCAAGGCCAGAAGAGCAAGGGGAGAGAAGCAAGCCAGTGAGTAGTGTTTGCAGGCGCTGCTTTGTGGAACTGACAAGCAAGGTCAGGAAACACAGGGTCAGGAAGGACAAAGGGACAGGATGGGGAACTGATATAAGTTCCCTCAGAGGTCTATCCAAGGTCATCTTCAGCCCATGATGACTTGAAGAGTAGCCTTCTAAAAACAGAACTCAGCCCTCTCTTACCTCACCCTATGCAGCGTGTGGCTGAGGCATCTGGGGCTGACGGGGCCTCGCGGGCTCTCCTTAACCTAACCGGGACGTGCTCCAGCTCCACAGTATTCCCCCCGCCAGTCTGTGATTCCTGCGACAGCCACGTGTTGTTCCGGAGCCCGGAAGAGAATGTTCGTCTTACTGCAGTTGGTTGTTGTTGTTGAAAATCTTGTTTTGACTTCTCTCTATTGAATCTTTCCCCGCTTTCTCCAGATTTGCCACTTACACATTGTAATATCACAATGTTTCTGAAAAAAATGCTAAGTTTTAAAATGCAAAATCAGCTTTGCAAATCGAAATGTACTGAAAGGATCTGAGAAAGGCCTAAGAAACCTGGTGTGATGGGTTTCAGGAAAGGTGTTGCTCTACCCTGCACCAAGCAGGGGTGGGGAGCGGTGGTATCTTTTGACCACAAAAGGAGAGATGCAGGACTGAAAAGATGACGCTTTCAGAAGCCAACTGCAAAACCAAATCCAGGCTTTATTTCAATGATCACATCTGCCCACTTCTTTCTGAGAAAACGCTCTCGATGTTTTTCATGTCGTATTTTAAGAAGTACGTACTAGGAGCATTACTCACTAAGATTACCAACTTTGTCATCGAAGATGACAGTATTGCTGAAAATATTCTTTTGCTTTTGTAAAAAAGGAGGCTGAGGCTGGCGTCTTTCTATATTGTATTAAAAACCCTGACACTTATGCTCACTGGATTACTCATATTTGGCTAATGCAGTCCAGTCCTGTTTAAAGCCATGCTTCCCACAGGGTTTATCTGTCCAGACATGTTAACACTGCCTACAGCCTTCCCTGCCTTCACTTTATCTCCATCTTCTTTCCCGACAGACTATTTTCTCAGTGGGCATGTACAGGCGGGGCTCCTCCGTTCTCCGCATGGTCAAGAAGTTAGGGGTGCTCCATCTCCTGGTGTGTGTGTCTATACTTTATTTCTGATTTGATAAAAGCTGCCTGCAAGAATTACTCTTCTTGATCATATGGGAGAAAGGGAGAAGGCTTGCCCAGGCGGCGAGGGAGAAAGAAGTGGTTTTGCTTTGGACTGTGCTCTCTTACGGGGTGCACTTAAACATGGCAGGATTTCTTTCTTTATGAGTCCCTCCACCTAGAAGATGTAAACTTTCAATCAGACATTAGGAGTGAGTTTGATTTCAAAAGAAACAGAAATCAAATGTCCTTGTCATGAGCAGAGCTAGCATTTAAAAGATCCGACCTCAGAAATTAGAAAATTAGAAAATCACACACAAAGAAAAAAGAAAAGAAAGAAAAGAAGATCAGTTTGACTTGCCAGAGACCTGTCATTCCTACCAAAAACTAGACTGAACCTCAGGGAAGAATAATTCTTTTAACCAAAATCAGGAGTTCTCTCTCCACAAGCTACACATCTGTGTCCCTGGGCCTCTTTATCCTATCCACGTCTTCTCTGGATTATCATTGTTTTTCAGCTTTAATGAGGTATCACTGACAAAGATTATTACTTGAAAAGTTTAAATTCCTCTAGGAAAAATCTAGAAAAGGTAAATAAAATGATCTTTAAGCAAATTTCAATCCTAAGAATTTTTTTGAAGAAAAAGTAGTAGAGCAGGAAACAGAATGGCCGGTGGAGGCCGGGGGAAAGGAGGGGCGGAAAGACTAGACTTTCGTTTTAAAGTTAGGGGACAGGGAGCCTTCTGGGGCCCCTTCAAACCTCAAGGAGATATGGTTAACACTATCTTTGCTCAGAGAAGTCAAATGAGGCCAAAGGACAGACAAAAGGATAAACTCCGGAAAATCAAGACACACTAGTATTTCATTCTTCTCAAAATACCTTAAAGAAGTGCTGAATGGCATTCCTCTTGCAGCCAAGGAATGGAGAAGAGAGGGCTGACTCTGTGAGCTTTCTTCCCAGCAGACCCATGACTTAATCCCACATTTACCTACTGAGAGAGAGGCCCCTGTGGGCCAGGGGCTGGGGGTGCAGATAAGGCTTGCGTAGTTGGGTAGGATGGCGGGCAGGGTGCAAGGGGGAGGAACAGTTCCCGAAGCCCTCAAACACTGGAAAGTACCTCTGAAAGCCACCTGTGGAAAGAACTCTCACAGCCAAACAGGTTTCTAGATATCACTGCACTGACACAGTGATAGCTATAATAACACTCTAAGGATACAGGGGTGGAGGTAAAAGCTCACTTCTACCTGAGCCTCAGTTGCTATAATGAGATGAGGCCACATTTAAAAAGACCTTTTCTGAAGGAACTGATAGAGAATGAGAGGGACGCTGGCAGAAAAGCAGCAGCCTGAGGCAATATCAGATCCTCCTTCCCCGGCCTCACCTCAGGGTCTTTCCCTCCACATGTGTCCCCAAGCCTG